ATGAACTAAAATGTCCCTATAGCTATATGACTAATAATGGTAAGGGACGGTAAGGAATGGCATGCTGGGATTGTCAGTGTTGTCAGACTGAAGCTATGTATAAAAACAAATCAAAAGCTAGTCTGTCACCTTGTTTCATCTAAATCAGCTATTTGAAAGTATACTTCCCTTATGTGCAGTTTCTCAAATTGTGAGAAATATTTGTTAATCTAACATGTTAATGTGCATAGCATAAGCCCCCCTCTCTCCCCTTGCACTTTAATAGCATGCATCCAGATGTATTTTTTTTTGTTTTATTTATTTATTTTTTATGACATTTTTTCAGTACTGTTTTGAAATTGTCACCTTTAGTAGATACATATTAAATTATGATTACTCATGTAGACACGTGAATCCACATCCAAGCCACAGATGCCCATTTATCATTCAGCACCTGGCGGGGGCTCTGAGCAGCAGAGAGCCTATTGTGCTTTGTGGAGCTTTCTGCTCCCTGGAGTGCCATGTCTGCAGCACATGGTGCAAAATAGGTACAGCTGTCTGTTTCAGCTGGAGCTGCTCTACATCTCACTGAAGATAGTGCTTTATAGTTTGTTGTATTTTTATAGATCCTTTTACTTCATGGTTGCACAGGCCAGCAGTGTGAAAAACATAAACATATAAATCTCTCTCTCTCTCTCTCTCTCTCTCTCTCTCTCTCTCTCTCTCTCTCTCTCTCTCTCTCTCTCTCTCTCTCTCTCTCTCTCTCTCTCTCTCTCTCTCTCTCTCTCTCTCTCTCTCTCTCTCTCTCTCTCTCTCTCTCTCTCTCATGTTCAACCCGCCCCTCCCTGTTCTCTCTGGTATCCCTTAGCTGGCAGTTTGGTTTGCGTGATTGTGATTGTGATGCTCATTGTGTGGTTCTGGCTGCTGTGTGTGTAAGTATGTGTACGCGCATGTGTAGTGTGGGTGTCAGCATTCTATCTGTGAAATGACCCTCTGAAAAAAAAAACTTCCCCACGCCAGCAAGTTTTCAGCCTGCCAAGCCCCCCAGCCCTCAGTACATCCACACAGGGCTTTACCCTACAAAAGAGAGGATCACTGCTCCACAAATTGCCAGCAAACAGAGTAATCCACCCCACACTGGGACACACTCCCACTCCTTTACTCCCTTACAGCTCACTTAACTCTAGATGAATAGTGCCATTTACACTCAGTAAGAATTAATCAGCTTTCCTGGAGGGGGAAAATGGTAAAGTTCCACACAGACCAGCATGCAAGGGTAACATCTATCAACCTTTCTGATAGACGGCTTCCTAATCGCTCACCTCAGGGCCTACAAATATACCTGTGTAATAAATCACACCAATATATACAGTACTGCGCACAAGTCAGAGACCACATCATTTATTTATTTAATTCCCAATCAAAACAGAAAAATACACAGAAGCCTACACAACTAAATATCATATCAGCTTTCTGAGCTTGCATTATTTTCAGGAGGCTTGCTTGCTTGCTTTCAGTTTTTTTCAGGAAAATCTGCAGAGATATACACCTTTAAAGTTTAGTTATATAAGTGGTTGCGTCTACTACCTCTCATCATCCAAGAAATCCCAAACACATTCAATAATGTTGAAGTCTGGGGTCTTGGGAAGCAAATGGAATTGTCTTTTTACAGTGGAAGGAAGGGCAGAAGCACCTTTTTTAGATCAAATAATTGCACAATACTGTTTTATGCCATAACATCCATATTTTGGAATTTATTCTGGGTTTAAGTAGCTATTACTTTAACAAGATAATATTGACATTCACTATGGCTTTGTTCTGAGAAACGTTCTCCTGAGTCTCTACACAGTTACTCAAAAGAGAGTAGGCTCCGAGATCATTCCCTTGGAGTTACATAAATCAGCTCAACAAGTTCATTAAATTCACTCTCAAATGAACCTTGGTGATGTTCACTTAGTTTAAATCTAATTACAAATGAGCAAAAACAATTCAACACGTGTAAATCATTTTGCTTTTGTCTGGGACAACTGTTATCATATTGATCTATTGTTATATACTTTCAGGGGTGTACAGACTTGTACACTTTAACTGTAGTTTATAATTTTGGTATTTTTATGAATGTGTAAAATGTGATTTGGTCATTTAGTGCCATATGCAATGTGAGAAAAATGAATCAAAGTAAGGTGACGTTGCTGTTTTCATGAAGATTTAATGTAGGGTCTTTCAGTTTTGACCCTGAAGTGCCCAAGTCAGTGGTGTAGAATGTAGGTATGCACTTGCATATTGGCCCATAAATTACATTTGCTTCTACTTATGTTAAATGACCAGTTCCCATTCCACAAAGACACCTATGCAAAAGTTGTTTATGCAGCTTTTTTGTTTTCTACCATTACATCATAACACCACTGACAGGATTTGCCTTGCACTTGTTTTTGTCTTGGTTTATGGGTGCCCAGTCCAAAAGCTTTGCATATGGCAGTGCTGTCCAATCTTATCTGCAAAGGACCGGTGTGGCTATGGCTTTTCCAACAAAGCAGAAGCTCACATGATCATTTGTTTGAAGACTGAGCAATTCATTAGACAAGTGGAATCAGGTGTGATCCTGCTCATTTGGAATGAAAAGCTGCAGTCACACCGGCCCTTTGCAGAAAAGATTGGGCAGCACTGCCATATGGTCTTCAGGATGACTTGTTATGCCACTGGCCAGAGTCCAGCACAATGTGTAACATTAAGAATTGTTACTAACGAAATACATACTTTCTGTAACTAAGCAGCTTTTTTGTGTCTTAGTGAAAATATTAATTTATCTGGGTACAACTGTTAAAAGCCGTGTTTGCTTCCCATGTACTGACTAGCATTTTTGGGTTATGCTCAAAATTAGCTAAAAATGTTTGGTAACGTTTTAGTAATGTTCTGATTGTTTTGGTAGTGACAAAATAGAATGTTCAGTCATTTGTTTTAATAAAATAAACTTAATGAAGGCATAGTGTCATTCAAAACAAAACGATTTTAGTCTAAATCAGGGGTGTCCAATCTCATCTGCAAAGGGCCGGTGTGGCTGCAGGTTTTCACTCCAACAAAGCAGGAGGTCGCCTGATGAAATGTTTGAAGACTTAGACTGACTGATTAAACAAGTGGAATCAGATGTGCTCCAGCTTGTTTGCAGTGAAAACCACACCGGCCCTTTGTGGATAAGATTGGATGCCCCGATGCCCCGAAGTCAGTTAAAAGGCCGAAATGGGTTTCGAACCAGTTCAGTAGAATGATCCATATAAGTAGGGGTAAGACAGGTATAACGCTCAAATACAATATTCAAACTTAGTGCTTAATTGAATTTATGCAAAATTCTGGTTTGGTTTTGGGGGAGCAAAAATTTTTGGACATGATACGCTGCTTAACTAGACTGGACTAGAACACTGAAATATGACAGAGAACCTTTCAGTGAAGTAAAACTCTTAACAAATTCTTTAATCCATATAAAACACACCTAGCATTCATATGAAAAATTTGCATACATTCCCATTCATATAGTAACTTTTTACAAACTTCAGTCTTTACGGACTCATTTACGTCTTCCTGTTTCACTGAGATATAAATATAAGGCGACACACACTTTGAAGAGTCTTCCTCTAAACATGCAAACAGTAGGACATTTGAAGAAGAAGGTTACCTGGGGTCAACAAGTCTCCAAAACAGAGTCTATTGTGATGTAGCCACAATAGAATACTGCACATTAATAAAGCTAATTTATTAATGTACAGTGATTTAAAACAAGAAATAATCAAATGTATGTTCCACATAGTGCACATTAATACAACAGTATTTTATTTTTTATTCTTTATTTATGTATTTGTTCATTTGTGTAAGGTTGGGGGCCTTGCAAAACTATGATCCATCCCTGGGCAGGGAACAGTGCAATTATGGACATAAAAGCCTAAATATTTGAGAATAAGTAGATGTCAGTTTTCTACAGAAAACATTTAATGAAAATAAAAACTTTCAGTACGCTGAATGCTTTATAGTTGCACCAGGATAATGGGTATGTTTTTGAGTTTGTGCTTTGAAGTATTGGAGATTGGCCATTTTAAATAGATGGGCTTTTGACAAGTGTCATAGAAATTATCAGTTCAGTCTCATTCAGTTTCATTATTGACTGCTTTATGAAAAATTAGGTAATTTACCAAAAAAACGCCAGAATTGTCCTTTAAGTGGCCCAGTTTTATGACATTGTTCCCATTCACCACTCTGAGCTGTAACAAATGGTTTATATGACAGAGAAATAGCATTGTTGTCTTGTTTTGTGAGCTGGTCAGGTGAATTATGTTAATCTCATCTGTAAAATCCCATAAAAAGTAGCCATCCAGAACTAAGGCCTCACAAAAGCCGTCATGGCAACCGCATCACACCAAAGAGGCTGTCGCCATGGCAATAGTAACTGCACCTTACAAGTAGGATGATGAAAGGGAAGAGAGGGGGGAGAGAGCGTGTGTACGTGTCAGATGCAAATATTGGTCTGAATAGAATCTTTAGTAAATTAATAAATTTGTTTTAGAAGATATAATGTGTAATTAAGGGAGTGAATTCTCACTTTCAACTTTCACTAAACTGATCTACTGATCTCCCATACATGCTTTTCATGTGACCATTGACTTTAATGACCATTGTAATAAAACATTGCAATAGTTATGACAGAATACTGTATTTTGTTATTTTTGTACTTTATTGATGTTCATATGAAAACATTTGTAATCTAAGATCATTTCCATATATTTTAGTAAAAGCTAGATTGCTCTTTTAATGCTGTGAGGATGTCCTATAATCTGTCGCTGCAGAAATGGGTAGGGCTTTGTAGGTATTGATAGAGATGAGGGGTGGTCTCTGCATTCAGAGGTCTCCTTCATTGGTATTAATGAGCCTGTTTTTACGCTGTATACAGTCTTCTTTCATGTCCACACACACATACAAACAAACACATACACAAATACACACACATTGACGGATAACCAAACTCTGGGCTCATCATGACTCTACGGGAGGTAAGGACAAATCTAACACTCAAAACTGTATGAGCATAGCATTCAAAGACAGCTTGACTGAAGTCCTTTTAATTAAATTAGAGGGAGCTGTTGGTAAGCTTTTAGTCTTGCTCTTTTCTCATAACAACAAAATACAGATTGCACATAGACCTAGACTATTTTTTCTCTATGGAAAAATGGAGTATCACTAAAGGAGTAATTCAGTGCATTTGTAGCCCTGATCTGTCCCATCCAAACGGAGGCTAATGCATTCTAATTAAAAAAGTTTTTTATAAGTAAAAGTAATTTGGCCCAGCTCATACTGAATAGCTTTGGTATATGTTTTACAAATACATGCCTAAGTAAAAATATAGTCAGATAATGATTTGTCAGAATTTTGACAAGAAATCTTGAATACCAATAAGCAGACACATACTGTTGTTGTTGGAACAAAAATTTGTATCTTCAGATTGGCAATGGAGAAGGAAAAAATGGCCTTATCTTTTAACATACACTAATGCAACAAGATCTTTTTTCCCAAGCAATTCTGGACTGTTACAATTGATCCATTCATAACAAGTTTTCACACAAGGGCAGATTACATTTTAAATGTAAAAAAAAAACTGAAAAAATAGAGGTTTTGATCTGACAGCAATGATATGAAAATTGTGTACATTTTGTATTATTGTGCAATACTGTCATTATTTTATCTGTCACTTGAGTGTCACTAACCCAGAGTCGCTTAGTATCTCATCTTGAGATTCAACTCAGCTATGCTTGTCGTACAAGAACCATAGTGAACTGCTGTTGTGCAGGCTTGGAATACTGTAAAAGGGTGTGCAGCCTATGAAATTCAGTGCTTCTTTGACATGTTTTTTTTGGCTGCCGAATATATAACTTTTACAGATCACGTATATGGTTGAAAAGTGCAACAAAATGCAAGAAAAATGAATGTTGTTTATTTTTCTTGCTGGTTTTTTGTTTATTTGTTTGTTGTTTAATACATAATACCTTAGAAAGATCTTACAAGATCTGTTAATCAACGCTGCTTATGGATTTCCTTACACCTCTAGGGGATTTTCACAAGTGGATCATGGTAAATGAAGACATATGTTGGATTGCAAGTCTCATAGACAAACAAAAACCAAGGGCCCTACAAAACAAACCCCATTTGCAAAAAGTTGGGACACTGTGCAAAATGTGAATAAAAACAAAATGCAATGATGTGCAAATCATCACCCAATAGAACAGATGTTGAAACTGAGAAATTTTATTGTTTTTTGAAAAATATATGCCTATCTTGAATTTGATGCCAACAACACATTCCAAAAAAGTTGGGACGGGGCAACAAAATGCTGGTAAAGTTGTGTAATGCTAAAAAAAACACCTGGTGGTCAAGTATAACATTTCTCAACATAAAATAGCAAAGAACTTTTGTTTTTCATCATCTACAGTACATAATTACATAAGTTTCAGAGAATTTGGAGAAATCTCTGTATGCGAGGGACAAAACCAAAACAACAGTATTTGCTGGCCCTGATCTTTGGGCCCTTAGGCGGCGCTGCATTAAAAACAGACATGATTCTCTAGTGAAAATCACTGTATGGGCTCAGGAACACTGACTGCCTGTGAAAACAGTTTGTCGCTGCATCCACAAATGCAAGTTAAAACTCAAAGAAGAAACCGGATCCAGAAACACTGCTGCCTTCTCTGGGCCTGAGTTCATTTAAAATTTACTGAGGAGAAGTGGAAAAGTGTCCTGTGCTCCAACAAATCAACATTTGATTTTTTTTTTTGAAAATCATGGATGCTCTGTCCTCCGGGCTAAAGACCACTCAGCTTGTTATCAGTGTTCAGTTCAAAAGCCAGCATTCATGATGGTATAGGGGAGCATCAGTGCACATGGCATGGGTGATGTGCACATCTGTGAAGGCCCCATTAATGCTGAATGATATATACATGTTTTGGCAACATATGCTGCCATCCAGACGACGTCTTTTTCAGGGAAGGCCTTGATTATTTCAGCAAGACAATGCCAAACCACTTTCTGCATGTATTATAACAGCATTTCTCTGTATTAAAAGAGTCTGGATGCTAAACTTGGCGCATTATGAAATGAAAAATATGACAAAAGAGACCTGAACTACTGAGCAGCTGAAATCCTATATGAAACAAGAATGGGAAAACATTTCACTTTCAAAACTGCAGTAGTCGGTCTCCTCAGTTCCCAAACGCTTACAGAGTGTTGTTAAAAGAAGAGGTGATGCAGGACAGTGGTAAACATGCCCCATCCCGACTTTTTTGGAATCTGTTGTTGACATCAATTACCTCAGTATATTGCCTGATAATAACTTAAAACAAGTGAAAACGTCTAGAAATAATAAAAAAGACAATATAGCATGTAAACACTGATAAAGTTTCAGAACTTACTGTTTGCTCCCCAGTCCATACAGTCCATACCTAGAAATTAAACTGCAAAAACAGCCTGTATTGAATTCATTGTTTCTGTGATGTCAAGAAAAAAACAAAACATCAGCATACAGAAGTCTAGCTGTGCTCATTCACACTGAAGTTATAAGGAGTATTTCAGCCTGGACTGCTTTTTGAATGAAGCACAATGCAAGGCAGCCAACTGGAGCAGAGCTCATTTACATATATCAGTCTTAAAGATACAGTGACAAAAACAGCCTTTTTAATTGTAAGGGATGAAGACACTGGTGTTGCCAGGGCTTTTACAATGGGGTAGCCAAGTTAGATAGAACAAATTTTTGAAATGGCAAAGTAAAAAAATAACAGCAGTTAATAACATTTTATGTTAAAATGCATTGAATTTACTCAACACTTTACTCAAGTACTGCTCAAAGAAAATTCAAAGACAAAACCCTACTGAAAAAAAAAAAAATCATAGAAACCATATTATAATTTTATTGGTTCTTAGTGCTGCCCCATAACTACTAATGGTATTTCGTGTTTTTCTGATGGGTTGATATTGCAGTGTCAAGGATTCTAAGGGTTAACAGGTGTTCTGGGACTGATTCCAGCTGTATTTGATGGTTTCTTAATGGGATCCAAAGGTGAAAAAACAGGCAATTTAAGTCATGCTGCTCCGATACAGGTTCCTCGTCACTTTAACACACCAAAGTATAAAGCAACATTATGAGCAAACATTCTTTGCTTGGGTGACAAACTGACCAATGAAGAATCTAGCCTAAACACAAACATACAAGGAATATGTAACAAGGAATTAGCCTAACATGACAAATTACGTTAGCCTACTTCAAATACTGTAGCTTACAGAGCAGCATTGCTAAAGGGACACAGCACACAGTGGAAACCAGAGTACTGGGCAAAGGATGAATGTGGTCATAATTCTGTGTAGCAGGGATGTTACTCAAGATTAATGGATGATGAGCTAAACCTTTACTAGGGGGGGAACATTTATGGTCCCAAAATGCCTGTTCATCATTTTTAGACTAGCAATAGGCAAAAGTGTGTTGATCAAAATAGTATTTAAGTTGTATTAGATCCATGCCTAATCCAAACTATGAAGAAAAAGATCTTTTTACCATTCTTCTACTTACAAATGAAAAAGATCAAGCAACAGTACTGAAGTCAAGCAATATTACCTCCTGTCTTAAAACTGCATACTTAGACTATAGATTAGTATGCAGACTATAAATTAGTACCTGATCAGACCTGCTCCTACAGCCCCATCTGTGTCCTTCAGCCTCTTTCTCTCCTTCACCTTGCCTGTGTTTAGCATCACATTATTTTTATTAAAAACAGATTTATAAGAAGTCAAGGCTTAATGAGAGATCAATCTGCTCAATGTTTTATTTTAGCTCATAAAAATCTTCTTACCTGACTGGCCTTCAGCAGAGCTGTTGCCTCTCTTAAAGAAATTCTGTATGGTCATATGCAGCTTGAGGAATTAAGGGATGTAAAACTGTGCTATGATTAACACTGTGTGACCTTATCACTGACATTATCTTACTGTAAACAACAGCCTGTGGCTACTAATGATATGATTGTTTTAAATACTGAAGTACTCTCACTATGTGTGAAGTTTCTTAAAATTCACACTTATGCTAAAATAGTTAGCTATGGTTAATGTTAAATAACATATAACGTTTCTTTATCTTACTCAAACCTAACGTAAACCTAAAATTAGCCAGCTAAGAAGCAACCAGGTATTTCAAGTAGATATTTTACACTGTACCTACTTACTGTTTCAGATCACATACATGCATTTGGTATAAAGCCGAAAGTTTACTTTAGCAATCTTTTAGCCAAAATCCTGTCTTCAGTGGTTAGTAAGAGAAAGAACCACGAGAGCCCCGCCCCCAGCTCTGATATGATCGGGTTACCAATAATGATTTCTGATATAATTGGCTGAGCCAGGGGTTACACTTTACCCAAAGTTAAACCGTAGGGAATTGCTGTCTCCTTTTATGTTAAGTTTCATTTCTTGTTTTATTTTACTCCTGAACTGTACCTATTGTATTGGTTAAAATCTTCATGTGATCCATGCCATGATCCACACCGAGCATGACAACAAAACAAATGTGCTGTACCATATCAGTGTAGATGTTGTGTTTTGCTAATATATTAAACCAATGTTTGCTGCCTCATTAAGCAAAATAAACACAATCAGCATTAAGGTTTTGATCAGCATTCCCAATGATTTTCTCAGTTCATCACAGCAAGCTGTACTGATTATTGAGTGCAGTGCCATCACACTTACAGCTGATCTGTACCTGACCTGATGACAAATTTTCACCGTAAGTGTAACCATTCACATAGGGCAGAAAGGATAACTTTTCTCTGGGGATTGTTTTACTGATGATAGCTGATTGTCTCTCTTTGCAAAACTGGGGTGGACAAAGAGGTGGCCAAGTTTCATACTATGATAGCACTGGCCACACCTTGGCCAGGTCCCTGTAAAAAGAGGTTTGAAAAAGTTATGTAAAAATTAATTATGACTGTTTTTGGTACATAGAACCACACAGATATTATAAGTGGACCTCAGGGACAAAAAAATAAATACAAGAAAAATGTAGGGAAAAGGCCCTTTAAATAATTTTGTTCTCACAACAGTTTAATAATAATAATAATAATAATGATAATAAAAATAATAATAATAATAAGAGGAACAAGAAGAAGAAGAATCTTTATTCATATAGCACATTTCATATAGTAAAAATTCAGCTCTACAGCTTTACAGTACAAGGTAAAAACAACAGGGAAAGAATAGAAAACAGATATTTGAAAAATGAAATAAACAAATAAAAAATACAACAGGGTGGCAAAGTGGTGGAGTGGATAGTGCTGCACAGCAAGAAGGGCCTGGGATCAAGAAATAACAGATATATCAATTAGATTTAAGATGAAATCTAATTTTTGCAGTGTGGATGGATACAACACTAAGGATCTCAAAGCCCCAGCTAATTTAAAAATGTGCATCCAGGAGTCAATCCAGACTTTTGCACAGACCCCCAGAATCACTTCATGAGCCCTGCTCCTGGGGAGCCTAGGTAGGGCTCGTACCATACCTTACATGCAATATATAGTCAAAAGTATGTGGACACTCTTCCTAATTATTGAGATCAAGTGTTTCAGCCATACCTATTGCTAATAATTGTATAAAATCAAGGACATAGCCATGCAGTCTCCATAGAAAAACATGTGTCAGTGTTATAGGATACCACCTTTGCCAAGCAGTCCATGAAATATCTGCCCTACCTTCTAGATCTGGTTTGGTGAACCGTAACTGCTATTATTGTGAAATGAAAGCATCTAGGAGCGACAGCAGCCCAGCCGTGAAGCGGTAGACACTACAAACTTTTGCATTTGATTGTAATGATAAGCGTTTTTATTATTGTGTCCACATATGCTTAATTTTGGCCTTAAGATTCACTGGCTTGGTGGCCTGAGTGGCCAGTACAAAAGACTGTGAGTTTGTAGAGATGCTGAACAGAGATGCTAAAATGCTTATTTATGCCTTTATCTCAACTGATCTTATCTGGACTATACCACTGCATGCCCTATTTGCAAGTAAGTTATGGCCCACCCAAGTAAATTACAGTTTCTCAAGAATGGTGCTTCTATGATTCAAAAATCAGAAAACCATATCAGCTTTGTTGTAATACATCGCCATGGCCTTCCTGTTAAGGGCTTTAAATAGTAAAGAGCCTGAATATATTAATTACCTCCCTCTATGTTTAGTCTTCACCCTAGTTCCCAAGATCAGGACAGCAACAGTTTCAGGTTGTGCAGACCAGGTATAGAACCAGGCTGTGTACTGCAGATGACCTTTTAAAAGAGACCTCAGAACGTTCTTCTTTCAGCAAGCATACCAGCAGCCAGGACAGTTCACTAAACTGGACTTTGTTGTTTGTAATGAAAAGTGCGATGTAAAAACATTATTCTTATTTCTATTGTATTTGTCTAACACATAAACTTTAATGAACTAGGAGGTGAGGAGCCGTCAGTTTTGGCGGGGCATGCTGGCTGAGATACTAGGCTCTTTGATCTTCGTATCGGCTGTGTTGGGCTCCTCACTGCCAGGGCCTGATGATGCGTCCTCTGGGCCTTTGTACCCAGCACTGGCTGCAGGCATGGCAGCAGTTGGTCTGGGACACTGCTTTGGAGAAATCAGTGGGGCGCAGGTGAGAAATTCAGACTTATCTCTCTGCATGTGATCCATTGCTGTTTGCATGAGGGTTATTCCACATCAACTCCTAGGGGCTGGGAGGTCATCTCATGGACTTTATTAAATAAATCAAGAAATACATATATATTTGATTCATGCAAACATACAACACTTCCAAACTAACTTCTATTATATTTTTTTTAAGTTTGCCCATCTAAACCACATCTTAAATGTAATAATTTTCAAAATAAACTTTTAAGTTTTTAATATCAAAATATTCAAAATGGTTTCACAACTGAAAATCCATTTTCACCCTTTCAGCCTATATTTACTCAAAAGATGCTAATCTGATTTATGTGCTATAACTTCATGTTTTAATTCTTTACGGTATAAAGAAATAGTAAAATAATACACAGCAAAATATCAGATTTCCAAATAATTTTTATAATGCTCCAGTCTATATTCTTCATTCAGAGGTAATTCCTTCTTACGTTACCACTTGTTGGGTTATATGCGCAGAATCTCTTGCAGAGGCACCCAGTAAGTATCTTGCCTTGCTGGTCATCAAAATTATTTTCCTATATTTTAGTTGCAGGAAAGACCTCAAAATGTCTGCCTTTGCAAAAATATAGAAAAATAATTTTGAAAACTGGCTTAAAGTTTCAAATTCACGTTTCAAAGGCAAAAGTTACATAATCCTCTGTATTGGAACTGTTCTGGTTCTTTTAGTGTTTTAGTATATTTATTCCCAATTCAGCTCAGTTTAGGCTATTTGGACCACAATTTTGACATTTTGCATGGTCATATTAATCATATATAATTTTTTTCATGAACTGTTTGGACCTCTGCTCACTCAATCTCCCTCATTTACTTTAGGTGAACCCTGCTGTAACTCTTGCCTTGTTGGCTACACGGAGACTGGATGTGCTAAGGGCGGTAGTCTATGTCTTTGCCCAGTGCTTAGGGGCCACTCTAGGGGCCGGGATACTCTACTTGGTCCTACCTTTGAAATCTACAGCAGAGATCTATGTCAACAAGGTATGAGCTCAAAGATTCAGAGAGTACACTCTTAAAAAGATTCTTCAGTGTTCTTTAGAGAGTTTTCAGTAAAGGCAATGGATACACAGTCATATACAAAAGTTTGAACACGTCTGGTCTAATGACATGTTTTGGTGATTTTCTAAGTGAACATTCTAAGTTAACCCATCCTCTACAGAGGACAAACATAAGCATGTCATTTTTTATTAATTATGTGCATTAAGTGCATTATTTCTATTTATTTGTTATGTTTAACATACTGAAAAAAAAAACAAAATATGAAGTGAGCCATAGTCTTTGTACAAGCCACATTATTGTTATGTTGATTTTTTTCATAAAGCCATTCTAGTTATGCAGCAGTTATCTCCACATGGTTTGAATACTCAATTGTTATATTGCCAAATTATTATTATTATTATTATTATTATTATTATTATTATTATCATCATTATTGTTGTTGTTATTATAATAGTATATATGTCATTATGAAAATAAACAAGCAAAATTAAGAAAACCTAGTTCTCAGAGACCACCAGTCAAAACATTTTTTTGTTATTCTATTTACAACTGAGCTTTATAATCAATAATCAGTGTTCTACATTATACATATGGATTACTTAACCTAGGTGTGTTGTGTTGGAGCTGGAATGACACTGATACTAAGGACTGGATCAGGGGCATCTTGTGCCTGGGATTACTGGGATCATGTCTCTTCTGATCTAGGCATTTTAAAAAGGAATTCCACTGATTTATTAAAAATGTTTGCATTAGTCAGTCTTAGATATGTAAACAAAGTCATTCAGAGTGATTTGATGTGAAATAGTACCTTATAGAGACACAAACTTGGATTTTTTACAGTGGTTATAAGAATTGTCATGTCTAAAATGCAATATAGCACCATTGCATTTACGATCCAAAATAACCAGTGAACGTACACGTGGCTTGTGAGATTTTATATGTAATGTTGATAATGGAAAAATAATGGTATTTCTGGAAAAAAATAAGTTTTGTTTGACCGGGCCAGTGAGGGCAATGCCTTGGGCCTCTTTCTGCCAGGCCAGAGGCGGCTTAAAGACCGGGGATAATCCACTGCAGATGCAACACTTAAATGAATAACCTTTGAATACATCATGACAAACTGAATAAAATAAAATCCCCTGCACCCGTACCCTGCCATCAACAATTTATTATATAATACACAAAAATGTGTAGAAATACAACTGTGCAGGAAATAATGCAGGCATTTGCACACTAATTAAGAATTAATGTTTTTGCTTGTTTACATTATATTTTTTGGAATATCATTGTTCACAGCACACTTAAACATACATGATATGTTTATTCAAGTTATATTTTCAGGTCTATTTGTTTCTTTGCTATTGACAGAGTGTGAGGGTGAGGGGACTTCCAAAGATGTGTGTGCCCAGGAGCCTTGTGAAATCATGATCCGTTTCTGTCTCCCCATGAAGAGACTTTAAAAATACTTTTATGCTAAAAACTTATCACGAATCTAACGTAAAACAGTATTTCAGAAATTGGGCGGCATTCATGTATCAACTTTCATATAACAACTTTCTGTGATGTAACTTTAAGAGGCATTAAATGCTATGAATGTTTGGTCTGACTGGGCAAGTTTGTCTACAACATAGCATTTCACAAAAAACTCAATGACTTTTTGTATACATCTTAATGATTTATTTATGCAGAAATTTTGAAGAATAAATGGAATTTGTTTTAAATAAATAATGAATTACACTTTGAACTGATTGGGTTGATTACTAATTAATTAGTGACAAGATGTTGGAAATGTGTTTTTTTCAATTGTAACACCCAGCTGGTCAGGCAAAATGTTCACTGTTTCTTGCTTGAAATATATCAATTTGTTCACCGCAGGTACCCATGGAGGTGAATGCAGGGCAGGCTTTGGGGACAGAGATGCTAGCTACCTTCCAGCTGGTATTCACCATCTTTTCTGTGGAGGATCAACGCAGGAGAGAGGGGAGTGAGCCTGGCAACCTGGCCATCGGTTGCTCTGTCAGTGTTGGCATCTTTACTGCCGTGAGTGTGTTGACATTTGCACATTATGTGCTAAAATTCATACAACATTTACAGTCTCCCAAACAAATCCACATTCTAATATCAGCTCTAGCACACACCCAGTATATTTGTGAAGATTTATCAAGAACCATAATTGAACAACTGATGCTATGCTGTTACTTTAAGTTAAATTACTTGTAAACATGATTAGCAACTACCCCTTCAGAAGTTGCTGCATTTCCTCCAAAATGTCAGTAATCCTTTTTAACATGCATGTATGTATATATGTGTATGCTTAGGGAAGATTCTCTAGTGGCAGCATGAACCCTGCTCGCTCTCTTGGACCTGCCATTGTAGTTGGATACTGGGAACATCACTGGGTAAATCATGTTTTATGGCTTGTTATGTTAGCTTGCAGTTTATCAGTTAGGTAACTGTAGAAATACCAAATAAACCAATAAATACACCCTTTGTTTTATTTGAGCTTTTGTTTATTCTGCATTTATTCTTCACTCTCCAGGTGTACTGGATTGGGCCAGTGCTGGGAGCAGTGTTGGCTGGGGTGTCTCATGAGTTTTTTTTTGCCCCGAGTGCTTCAAGGCAGAAGCTGGTGGCGTGTCTCACCTGTAAGGACATTGAGATCGTGGAGACAGCCAGTGTGTCCCGCTCATCTCTGTCTACTGTCACACAGACAGCTATGAGAGCCAAGCAGACTAACAAACTTGAGCACAACTGAACCGAGGGACATGCTGCAAACATATCTTCTCTTTAGTGAGGTTTAAGTCCAATATGCTCAAAGTTAGCATGATATTTGGGTTGAGTAATGACGTTCTAGATCAAGTCGTTCTAGTAATCTAAGTCATGATATACTGCTTTACTGAATAATATAGTGAGAAGATAAATTCACAAATACATAGACAGTAAATATTTTAACAGTAACACTTTCTATGAATGTCACCTTTGTAAACATCTATAAACATATTCATAACATGTTATAATGCATTCATAAGACATTATAAACATAGCTATAAATATTTATAAAAATGCATTATACGTTATAGCCATGTTTATTATGCATTATGAATTGTTAACATAATGCATTATAAGTATTGTTCATAACAAATTATAAGAGCTCATAGGTTGTATTTGTCCGCTCTAAGTGAAGTGAAGCATACTGTACTAAAGCCACCTCCAGTGTTAAGAGTGAGGCTTGAAGTATTTACTGAAGAATTTACTGAAACACTAAAACATACACAGTAAAGCACATTACAGGCTTCAAATGCCAGATTTTAAACTAGTGCTGCCATCAGTGTTTTACCCAATGTGGAAAAGCTAATGTACACTGACATTATAACATGTTATTAACACTATTTATAATGCATTATTTTGACAATTCATAATGTATAATAAACATAGCTATAAAGTGTAATTCAGTGTAATTCTTTTTTCTAAATATGTATAACCACATTTATAATGCCTTATGAATACATTATAACATCTTATAAATGTTTATAGATGCTTACAAATGCGACATTCATAGAAAGTGTTACCATTTTAACACTCAGAATAACTACTCTTATGTAGTGTAACTAACGTGGACAGCATATATATATTTTGATAGTAAATTAATATTGGAAAGCTGCAACATTAACTGCATTTGTTGACTCATTTACTGCCTTAAACACAAAGTTTAACAATGTTGTACAGTTCTGTAGATACATACAGATGGGTGACAAACTAAAGCCAAAATCAATATGAAGTGACTTAATAAGGAGTTAAACCTCCGGAAAAGCTCCACAAAAAGTCTCTGGAGCTGTACTGAACGGACAGAACACCACTTTCTTCCATATGAAAATGATGATGGTGGTGGAGAATGTTGTCCAAAACATTGCTCCAGAGTCTCCCTATGTGTGCAACTGGGTTGAGAACTGATGACTTTGAAGGCCATAGCATATAATCCATATTATTTTCATACTTATCAAACCATTCAGTGACCCCTTGTGCCCAAAGTGATCAGTCAGAAGTGAAACCGAGCCATGCCAGCCACACTATAACAGAGCCACAAGACATTCAGGCCCGTAATGTCTTTGTGCAAACCACACATGCACGCACCCACTTGTGGAGAATATGGCAAAGGATGACTCATATAACAATATCACTTTTTTCCACTGTTTTTTCCATCTCTGTAGACAAGTGCTTGCATTTATTTTACTCTCAAATGTGCATTTATCTTTGTAATGAGGGTTTTATGCACTGTAACCTGTACTATAATATCCCTCTGTAAGTAGCTGTGTAGATTGTTCTCACTGACAGTCTGATCACGTCCTGCATTGACAGTCACCTGAAGACAGCTGCTCTTCTGTTTTTCCTTACAACATATCACACCAGTGCACAAACATAACAGTCACTGAATGTACACTTTCAACCCCAAGTTCCAAACCTACTCACTGATATCTTTCCCTTAGGTGTAAATGCAGGTGTCAAGTACTGTTCCTTTTGAATCACTAGCCAGTCTTCAGTGACTGATGCTCCTGCCATCGGTGCCCCAATAATGAACCCTGTTTCAAAGTCTCTTAGATCTTCCTCTTGTCATCTTGACCCAAATTCAAGGTCAGCTGGGCCTGCTTAGTATTGTATACATTTTTATACATGCCACAGAGCATGCATTATGCAGTACACCTATCTGGTAGCATCTGCACTTGTTATGTTTATCCAGTCAGTTATTCAGGATTTTCCATTATTTTTTCCTTTAATTTGTCACCAGTCTGTTAATGTTTATTATTATTTATTATGTATTTTTGTTCTATGTGTGTACTGAAAAGACTGTGCTTCTCCAGTCTACACAGTGCTATGCAAAAGTTTGAACACCCCAGGTCAAATTACACATTTCGATGATTTTTAAGTGAAAATAAGTTTAGTCTAATTATTTCTAATTATGCATTTAGCATATTAGAAGAAAACAAAACATAAAATATAAACATTGCCATAACTTTTGCATGGGCCACATTTTATCTTTTCTTTTTTCCCCCCAACATCAAATAATTTCAGCAAATAAACAATAATTGTGCATTAACGAGTATGTACAGTGAGTTCTCTATAGAAGATGTGTCCTCATTTTCTTGTATTTGTGTAATTTGACTAGGGGCACCCAAACATTTGCATAAGATTTTATATAGGGATATTTTAATGTTACTACATATGTTATTATATAACTTGTTAAAATGTGTTAAAATAATTCATTGTTATAACAAAAGATCATATTGATATGCTTTGATTTTAATTTTGCAACAATCATGTTAAATCGACATCTATACTTTCTTCACACACAAACACACAGTCAAACATGCATGCTCCCAAGTACACGCACACACATGCTTCAATAGAGGACAACAGGTATTCGGTGCCAGCCAGCATTTTTTTGTTGCGGACAAATGTTGTTCCACATGTGTAAGGTAAAATGTGTGCGTGTGAGTGAGAGAGTGTGTGTAAAACAGATGAGATCAGCTATCTTCATTCACTGCTGCCCTCCTGTAGCAGAGGGATTTTCCAGGGCTTTGGATAGATATGGGCCCCCCACCCTCTACCACTGCACCGGGCCCTACTCTCACAATACAAACCTCTGCCTAATCACTTCTGCCCTTAACAAACCAGAGGCCACCAGAAGCAGAAAGCCCAGAAGCTCACACTGCCCACACATCTAGATCTGCACACTGTTCTGTATTGACCTTCTTATTGTGTTATTGTTTCCAATTCAGAATTAGTCTCACCATATTGTCATCTTTATCAATGAAATGATCTTTGTTTGAACTTGTTTGTGAGTTTGCATTGTTCTCTTGTGGGTAGACTATTTACATATATGAAGACTCAATTTACATATATAAATTACAGATGATTTTAATTTGTTTTGGGAAAAAAAATTCAATAAATATATTCTACAAAGCATTCTAGTCATTAAATCAAGACAATACATTTTAAGATTCATGGTTATATTGTTCTGCATTCTATGTTTCCCATGTAGTATTACTAATTACATGGTAGTTGGATATTCTCTGTGACAACAGGTTTTCCAGGCTCAGAGATTCTGATGGAAGTATATGCACACTATTGGTTCAAGCCTCTTCCACAAGGGCCTCTCATGAATCACTGAATTGTGTGTGGAGATGCATGACACTTCTTCTGAGCCAGTGTATGTTTTGTATGTCTGTATGTGGGTGTGTGGGGTAACAGGTTAAAAGTCAGCATTAATTCTCCGGCCTTAGCTAGTGGTACAGGTACAACCATAAGATTACAGCACTTATGAGCAGCGGACATGTCTCATATACTGTCTCATATACTGAAGCAATATCCAATATCTATGTACTTCCATGTCATTGCCTGTGTTACTGTGTTTGTTACAGAGTAATACAGCAGGACCCGAAGCAAATCCTGGGCTGGTTTTACCCTCTCTTTGAAATTGTAGCTAATTTACATTATTATATAATAGAGGGCCCATGTCTGCCCTTTCACTCCTAAGGTTTTCAACTAACTTGAGCACATGATATTTCTGCCTCCAAACAGAGAAAGCAGCCAAAGTTTGTTTGATCTGTGACTCCCCCCTAGTGCCTCTACCCCCCTCGGAGGGGTTGGGGGGATTATGTCGTCATGCTGGGGCCCCGAGGCCATTATAAATGCCCCTTGTGTCCCCTCTGCGCCCCGTCAGACTAGCTCTTCTCACCGTGGGCAAGATATGCTCCGTATTCTTTTTTCTGTGTTTCCTTACTAGAGTCAGCCCTGTAGCTTTAGCCTTTTAGCCTAGATGTTCAGATCCCCCTTACAAACCCTGTAATCCTTTACAGTCAGACACACGCCTCATGTCTCTTTGACAGTTGCGGTGTGGTGCGGTTTACGCAGCGGGGTTGAAAGAGCTAAACTGTGTATGGCTACATGTTTGACTGTTGGCTTGCAGCTTTAGCTAACGGCTAAATCCATAGGGACTTCTTTTTTCACAAGCTTTTTTCCCCTTCTTTCTTTCTACTCATTGTCTGTTTGTTTTGACCTCTTGAAGCCCAAAGAGAAAAAAAAAAACAAAAGGCTTGAGTTAAATTAGCAAAAGCTCTTCACAGGATTACAATTTTTCTTTTTTTTTCTTTTTCAAAAGGACAATTTGTTTTTGACAGGCACTTCCAGCACCTATTACCCTTACCCAACAACAAAAACTTTTCATCTCATCAGTACTTGCTGGCTCGGACCTCTCTGATCGCCATGATGTGGGAGTTCCGTTCCATGATGTTCTGGCGAGCGGTGTTTGCTGAGTTTTTTGGCACCATGTTCTTCGTGTTCTTCGGCATGGGTGCTGCGCTGCGCTGGACCTCAGGCCCGTACCACGTGTTCCATACCGCCATCTGTTTCGGCTTCGCTGCTGCCACTCTCATCCAGTCCATCGGCCACATCAGCGGCGGACACATCAACCCTGCCGTCACCTTCGCTTATCTGGTGGGCTCCCAGCTTTCTCTGTTCCGCGCTGTGTTCTACATCTGCGCCCAATGTCTCGGCGCCATGGCAGGTGCTGCCGCTCTCTATGGAGTCACCCCTAACAACATGAGAGGCATGCTGGCTCTGAACACAGTAAGTAAGAGCTCCCCCTGTTGGCAGGAGGACTCAGTCAGGCTTTGTGGATTACATTAATACTGACAATTTATTTATGATTCTTCATGCTCTGTGGATTAAATTAATGCATACAAATTCCATTCAAAATTGACAGTTATTTAGTTTTTTAAAAGATGGGCTGACATTAGGAAGTTACATTCAGTTCAAGTGACATTCAAACAGTTAAAACAGCCTACAAGTTACCTCTATGTTGTGAAACATTGCACCAGTGTCACCCTTTGAGCTAGCAGCCGTTAAATATTTTGTTCTCCTGTCATTCGGTATGTAATACTTCCAGTGCTACAGATTTGACACATTATTCCATAACTGGATATAGGTGAATATTTCCAAAATACAATTTTTGATTTCGTCAGTGCAAAATGCATAATCATGTAGATATTTAATAACTTAAATTCTATTTAAAAAAGCCAAGTTAAAATTCTTTCTGCACAACAAGACTTCTCTTGCTTCATGACAAAGTGGCGCCATTAAAAGGTCTACTCAAACAGAAACAGGTGGACTGTTATTGATACCTTTTGCCTCATCACCCACAGCTGCAACCTGGCATCAGCCTGGGTATGGCCACTACAGTGGAGGTGTTCCTAACCCTGCAGCTGGTGGTCTGCATCTTCGCTGTGACTGACGAGAGGAGAAACGGACGTGTAGGCTCGGCTGCTCTCTCCATCGGCTTCTCCGTTGCTATGGGCCACCTGATGGGGGTGAGAGAGAGAGCGATAAATAATCAAAAATATTCAAGTAAAAGTGAGGTACCAGTTGTTTTACTGGAGTGTTTATTTTTGTCTAGATGTATTACACTGGAGCTGGCATGAACCCTGCTAGGTCCTTTGCCCCTGCTGTTCTCATGAGGAATTTCATCAACCACTGGGTAAGACAGAAAAAGATGTATCAATTTAATATAGATACATAGATTTCTGGAATGTTATCCACCGAAATGTTGTTTATCGTAGACTCTACATTTCAATTCCTCATTTTCAAAACTTGCACATTAGTTGCATAGTACTCTAATGAATAATACTCAATGAATAATAAGTCTTATGATTAGTAACTCATATGTTAATGTACAAGATATTAAATCATGTGAGTTTTTGTGTTTCTCATGGTAGGTGTACTGGGTGGGGCCCATGATTGGCGGTGCTATGGGAGCTATTCTTTATGATTTCATGCTGTTCCCGCGTATACGGGGGCTTTCCGAGAGGCTAGCTACTCTCAAGGGCAGCCGACCCCCAGAGGCCGAGAACCAGCAGGAGACTCGCGGAGAGCCCATTGAGCTCAAGACTCAAGCACTATAAACCTGCACCAACCTGCGGGCCGCGACCCAACTGTGCCCCCCAAGAGCCTCCATCACTCAGACCCAATCATCAGACCATATACACTAATTGTGCTTTTGATAAAATCTATTAACTCAGCTTTAAATGGATGGATTAAAGGACTGACTGGAAATGCAGAAAGGGACACTGAAATAGCTAAAGTACACTAATATTGGCTAATATTAGCAAATATTAGCTGATGCTAATCTTCTTGTACAAACACACCAAACTCTACATTTCTTTACTTATTGAGTTGCAGGGCAAATGGGTGGGCCATGACAAGGGTCTGGATAGCCAAGGGTAAAGTCAGCTTGATGTGGAAGGGATTAAAAAAAAAACAAAACGGGTGGGGTTATGGGGGGTAGGGGCCAGAATGGGTTGGGTATTAAAGGGGACAGCCTCCAGTCTCTCTACCCTTATAGGGATAAGCTAGAACAGTTTACTTAGGCATGCTTTTCACTTTTCATCTGATTATAGCTTATTTTCAATTTTATTTTCTACAACACAAGATGTGGATGTATGCTACTTAACTAGGATTTCATTCTTCAATACATTTTTTTTTTTTCATTTTATTTCTGTGTGCGAATGTGGGAGTGCAAGTGTGAGAGTTCATGTCGGGGGTGCAAGCAAGTGCGACTGAGTATGAGCATGTGTGGGTGAGTGCATTTGGGAGAATGTGTGCTGGTACGTGGGTTTGTAACAAGTATTGGTCTGTGTGTGTGTGTGTGTGTGTGTTTGTGTGAATATGTGTGTGTGTGTTGTTTATGTTTTCTGAGCTTTTATTTTGGGTTTTTATCATGACAGCTCGCCTGTATTTGTACCATGCTTGTGTTTCATTTCTTATTTTTACGGTACTTAAGACACCCCATTCTGTATTATTTGCAATGATTTTTCTTTCATGCTCACTTTTTACACAAACCACCTGCTTGATTGGTATGTTTCAAAGACACAATGCACATAACAACATTGTCTCCCAGTCATTTCTTTGCCGCCATGCATTGACAATGGTTGGGGTGCCTTACACTGAGTCTTGTTTGAAAATAATGCCCGGATTGGGTGCACAAAGTAATATGAATCACATTTGAAAATAAACATGAAACGTGACATGAAAGTTTTTGCAAGTGCCACTCCTGTGCAATCTAAGATAGTGTAGCTCTAGAACTCATGACTATTATTACTATTTCTCTCAGGAACCACCTAGGTAATAAGCAATAATGACCACAAGAGGGCGAAACACAACAACCATAACTGTACTCCCTGGCAAATGAGGACAGTTTGTAGGCAAAAGATACAAGGCACATTAAAAAATAAAAATGTTTCATATAAATAGCATAGAAGAAGGGAATATGTGTCAATAGTAATTGTGATTTGGCATTTTACTAATACTAATTATTAGTTGCCTTTAGTTATAGGGAACTAATGAATAATCATGCCAAGTCAAATGTCAGAATCATCAGGTTTATCCATATACAATGTAAAGGTATTATATTTAACACTATGGATATTAGGTATAGTATCTGGACATTACACAAGCTCTTCACAATATTAAGTCTGCATAGTTTTTATTTACAGTGAAGTAATGTATACTGTGCAGAAAAAACTCAGGTCTCAAAGAATAATTTGGTGAGTGCCAGGAAGAAGAACTCCGTTTAAAGAGGAACTCATTTACATCTCTAAAGGAAGTGGTGTTTGGGTCACCTTGGGCTAAACCTGCCAAAATGGTGCCCCTAGCCTTGCAGTCCTCCTCAAAGTGTGCTTTGGTGACCTCAACAGTGTGCAGACCTACAGGGCAAGAACCCTCACAGGCACTTTTAACATTTAAACGTGTGCATTTGGGATCAGTGATAGTTTTTTTTTTTCCAAATAAGTTAAATTGCTTTTCTGTAGTGACTCCATGCAGATAATAAGCATAATGAAGCTCAAAGGCAAGTTAAATTATGAAAAAAAAACAAAAAAACATTTTACTTACTTCTGAATATATTCTTTTCAACCATGTTGGCTACAGCTACAAACAAAACCATCCACTCTGATTGGTCTTTGCCTGAACACCCTATGGCTTTGCAGTCCTCATATGCATGCTCAGTTGGGGACTGCAGGACCTCAAGTGCATCGTTTGGGACTCGGCAAGTTGTTGGTCATTCTGGCTCTTTTCAGTGAGGCAGATCAATGGGCTCAGCTTACCAATATTTTTTTTGGCCTCGATTCTTTTGGCTTTCAAATGGCTAGTTGCCAGTTGTTGTTTTTTTTTAATCAGTTGGTGATGTTATCCATCATTTAATTCTTAGTAACACCTTAATATACTAATATACTTCTAATTAACTAATTAACAAAAATGCATTGTGTGTGTAATAAAAAACTATTTAAATTAATTAAATGTGCAACTATGACATACAGTGAGGGTAAAACAAAACATATTGCTATTCTTGCTAGATTTGGCTTTAAATCATTATGCCTTTCTGGGCAAGTTAAGAATTACAGCTAAGAATTACATGAAGCCCACCAAAGATACCAGAGACACACTAAAACAACATTCAACAAGTCAGAATGTTCCAAGGATATCCAGGAAGGATCCTGTGCAAACCCACAGAATAATGCTGAATTTTCTGTGGGCTCAAAGTGCTCACCTAAAAGAGCCAACTCGTTTAAAAATAACACATCTCTATATGCCATACAAACCATACAAGTCCTGCAGAAAATACAGAATCTTTAGCTACTTACATGGGCCATGAAGGACTCCGCCCTATGTACGCCTCCTGTGAAGGTGGCTGAGTTGAAAAATAGGGCCTCCAAGAGTGGAGAGGAGAGAATAGATGAGAGTAGACATGAGCAAGAGATCCATATTTGTGAAGCAGAGATAAGAGAGCTGCCACTGGACTGAATACACTAAAGAGACCTGACTAGTCTGCAGCAGATTGGGAGCAGTCCCATCTTGTTGACAAATTATGAGTGACAGCGTCCAGTTTCAGCAGACAAGAATTGTCTATACACAAAGACCAGCAATAATTATAAATAATAGAAGTATTGCCTGCCACATATAAAAGGTAGTAAATCAGACAGTAGTGTACAACACGTCTGATCATCACAGCAATTAGATTAGCTAAGGAATATCTAGTTTATTACCAAAAACGTCCCAAAGAGGAGGTAGTAGAGATCGTAACAGTAAAAACATATACTACAAGAGAACAGTGGTGAACAGTGATAATTAGGGCCAGGCTTTTAGTTCAGGCCATGAATGTCAAAACATCGTAAATGGTTGAAAAAAGCATTGTCGTGATAGTGCTAATTTCTCCAAGCGCCCTTCTTGGATTTCTAACAGTATGTTAGCACTGAGCTAATGCTGGTACACATGAAAATTATTGGGCAATTTTTAGATTAAACACTAATATTTAAAACTTTCAAAGGACACTGTATGTAGAAGTTTTACAGTGACTCCTTCAGTAAAGAACCCTGGCATCGAGCTGCCACCGCTTGCTTCTCGAATTTGCAGTCAGTGCTGTATCTTGGATTTCTAGGAGGCCTTGACTGACTTTTTCTCACAATATTGGTTCCACTGGAGAACATGATTGGTTGATTCCTCTATCACTTCATAAATATATTGGTGGTTTATCTATTAGACATGTCTTAAAGTGAAGGTTACAACCAGGGTAGGAAAGAACTTGCTAGCACCGCTATATAAAGCCTCCTCTTCAGTGCTCACTCATGTACATTCAAGATGGCTTAGCAGGCTGTACATAAGCAGCTTGAAATATTTAAATCTTAAGTTAAAAAACAATATGTTAAATTTTACATTAATTTCATTACAAACTCTGCAGCATCTCACCATTCACAGCTGTTTCCCAGCTTTCCAAAAGGATTGTGGCTCATAGTCTCAGAGGACACACCAGTTCAATTTCTCAGAAATGAAGCGAGCATTTCTTGGCTGCATTCAAAGGATCATACAAATGGGGACAACCTTTGGTGATGTTATGACTTCTTCAGCTGCTTCCTTAGCTTTGAGGCATGGCTAATATGTGAAGGTTCCCGACCTGCTCCTGAAGTCTTAACCAATGAGAGAGCTAACTTGGCTGTATCTACCTAGATACCAGAGAGAGAAAAAACTCCTGATTGGGCAATTTACCCTTACAATACCTGCAGAGTTTATACAACAAACATGATGAGTCAAAAAAACAAAAAGAACAAAAATTGTTGATGTATATTTTTTTGTTTTAAAAGGCCCTAATGGCTCTTGCTCATGCTTGAAGACATGTAAAAAGCATTGGAGACTATTCTTCCATTCAGACTCTCTCCAGATCCAACAGAGTTTATGGTCGGGGGACTGAGATGGCCATTTGTGTGGTCAGTATACCATGTACACATGTAGATTTGGAGATAAGCATATCAGTGTTCTGCTTAAAAAATCCAGCCATGATCCAGTCTTTGGCTCCAAGCAGAGACAGAACTAAAATCTCTGGTTTTCAATGGCAGCCATGATGCCATGTATGCTAAGCTTCCCAGGGCCACTGGAAAAAGCATCACACAACCAGACTTCATGTTATGGTCCAGGGTTTTTTATTGCATGACCTCTTTGCCAAACCCATCTACTGTGTTTGTTGTTGACGAAGCTCGGATTATTCGGTTTTGAAAACATACAGGGTCAGATTTGTGGCTGTTTTGAATTCCTAGTGTATTATCACATTCAATACCTAAAACCTAAATGACTGAAAAATTACATTTCAAAGACAAGAAAATTCACCCTCAGACCTAAAAAGTACATCCTTCAAAAAGTTAATCTAGTCTTAAAATTAATTTATTAACTATTTAATTTAAAGTAAAATATTGTTCTTAGTGTTAAACATATATACCCAGGTCAGTTCAGTCATTCAGACATACTGTTAGTAGTTAAATCTTAAAAAGTATTTATGATGCGATTTACAACATGATGAAGCGAACTTTAAACATGCATAGCTAAAAGTTATTTGGAGTATATCTTTTACATCAACTAACTAGTTTTTGCTTGATTTTTTAAAGGAAATCTGCAATGTGAGCAGTCAGTTGGTGAGTTAGTCTGGAATGACTCTTTTATCTCACTCTGATATTTCTCATGTTGATAGATGATGGGATGGGGCTATGTTATCAATGCAGTGGCACATGAGAGATGGATGTTGATATGTAATTAAAGTGTAAAAAAAAGTATGTCATGTTGAACATCAGTGAAATTGTAACACCACTTACCATAAAATCATTGACAAAGTAACCTAAATATGCAATGCTTTTTTGCAGCTAAATCTTTTAGAAGCTGACAATATTTTAGCCAATTTCTTTCAGAAATATAAAAAGAAATGTATAAAATATAAAAAAAATCTGGGGCTTATTATGAAAATAAAATCACATTTATATATTAAAAATAATATAACAGTACATGCAATACAATTTTATGCATTTTTACAATTTAAACTGAATTATCATAGTTTTTGTTAATTAATTTAGGAATAGAACAAAGAATACATAGATATTAACTTTTTGTGGTTTATTCTTTTTTGAATTTAAATTTTATGGCTTCAAAGTTAATAAAAGAAAATTGCCACCGCAATGGTAAAATGATCCAGTATTAATCACCTTATAGTTATTAACAGTGAAACATGAAATCCTGGCTAACTAAGGAACAATTTGGATGGAAATACATGATATATTTTGTTTTATATATACTGATAATTGAGTCATGTTATTTTTGAGAAAACATTTATTTTGTATACATACTCTTTTCCTTACCACGTATACCTCACTGTAGGGTTATATTTGTATTTTTAATTAAGATTAAGGCAAAAAAGTTTTTCTTCTTCTTTATCAAAGGTGCCAATATTTCTGAATGCCACTGTACTACATTTTCTTGGCAAATACAGGTACATAGGTACAGGTCATAACCAACAAATAATTCTCCACAATGTTATAAACATACAAATATCTTTATTGTGCATATTCTGGTCTTATGGCTTTCATTGCATAATATTGTAAATATTTTAGTGTCAATGGGATCATACAATGAACTGTCCTAGTTTTAGTCCTGCTACCTTCTTCTTAAATGTTCAGATAAAAACCTAAATAACCTAATCTAAACATAATCTAAATGAAAATTCACATCAATTAAAATGCATAATTGGTTTCTGAAATATAAATAAATATTAAAATACTGTTTTTTCCCCTACAGATGCAAGAAAAGTCAGTGCTATGGCAACCTGCCATACAATACTGCCAGCAATAAATTAGGTTTACAGCTAACCAAATCACAAACGTCATTACAGTGTCCACTACCTTCACCTTACCAAAGTCACATTAATCCCCTCCCTCACCCTATACTATAAGTTACTGCATATATTATTCTGATTATCATTACATGTATTTTAATCATTTAAGAAAGAAAAATAAGACAATTAAGAAAACTGACAATAAAGAGAGAAAGACACAGGGTGAGCTAACAAGAAAAAAATCCTATCTTTCAACTATTAATTTCTACTTTTGGAAGGATTTGAATATAAAATGTCTCACATAAATATTTACAATAGTTAAACTGGCTCAAAGGAAGACAAAGGAGGAATAACCAGCATCAAGTAGAAGAATGAGGTCTTTAAGGCCTTGTGTTTCAAAAACCTAAAGAGGCTGTTATCTAACGTCTCCATTACAGAACTGTGTATAAAAGATCAGTTTCAGTACACAAACTGTTCATGAGTGCATTCAGTCGTATGCAAATGTTTGTTTTCCCCTGATCAAATTGCATGTTTTGTTGTTTAAGTGAATTAAGAGAACACACTGTTGCACATTTTAATGCACAATTAGTGCTTATTTGATGAAGTTATGCCACATTTTATATTTTATGCCGTTTTCTTTCCCAATTATACTGACAGGGGCTCATAATAACAATTAGGGGTGCGTGATTGGAATCAGAATACAACCCTATTTCCAAAAACTTAAACTACTACGATAGTATAGAGAAATCCAGTCGTCGCTAGCTGGTGTCTGAATACTGTGATGTCATTTGTAACGGGGTAGCCGAGCGCTCGTCACCAGCTAAAAATAATCTGTTTTCTTCCTTAAATTATGACTATTACAAAATAGCCATGCTTTTCCAGCTGGTAAAAACAGCTCACCAGACACTTTCTCCCACTCTCCCATGACAGATTTGTGAAATGTTCCACTGTTTGGTGAGTGTTTGTCGTGTTCCGACCATAAAGGATAGTTTAAAACAGCAATTAACCACCCAGGAGCAAAAATCAGCCTTCAAACTTGAAAGAAAAAGTCCCAACTTTTTTGGAACGTGTTGTTCAAAATGGGCGTATATTTTTCAAATCTCAGTTTCAACATTTGATATGTCTTTGTACCATTTTCAATAAAATATAGGGTTTAAATCATTTGCACATAAGTGCATTTTGTTTTTATTTACATTTTGCACAGCATCCCAACTTTTTTGGAAATGGGGTTGTATTATGATGTAAGTAATGTGAGTCAGTGTGCTGCATTTTCATTGTTGTCTGCTGATAGTTTGGCTAATAATGAGGAAATGGGCTAGAATCCATCGGATATACTCATACAGGCTATAACAACTATGTTAGACAAGCATTCTGTGTTTTCTGTGAAAATTTAGGTTACTCCTCTGAATGCTTTGTCCATTTAGGTATTATTAATGTCTACATTCATTTACACTATTATTGTCTTTGTTGCCTGTTGCTCTCAAAAAACCTTTGGCTAACAAAAAACTGGCCCAAAACAAATCAGCCTTTGGCCAGTTTGGTGGAAAGAACTTGAAACTGGAATCAGCCAAATACATGATCAGTGCACCACTAAAAACAATAACAATGACAAAAACAACAACTGATATAAATAGGAAAACTGAAGGCTCATAAAGTGGCTAAAATCTCCAGAAGCCCTTTGGATGACATGACCCCAGTCTGTGCTGCTTTCTCTCTGTGGTGTGGAGTCTCACTCTGATGATGTCCTGGTTCTGTGTCCCAAAGCAATATGCATCTTCACCTCCAGGCTACAGGCGCTCGCTGTGGAGTGGAGCTGGAGGAAGTTGGAGAAAAGCTGTGGTTGGAGCAGCCCCAGCTGAGAGAGACATGGACAGCGGGGTTGGGGTGCTGGGTGACTGCCCCGTGGGAGCTGGGGGGTAGCCATAGGTGAGAAAGGCTGGAGAGGAGGCATAGGGGTACTGCTCAAAGGCTGCTGACGTGTAGGCGGCGCTATAGTCCAGATAAGGAGAGGTGACGGTGGTGGTGACCTGTGCAGGAAACACCAGGCTAGGCTGTAGCAAAGTCTGTGGATACACATACTGCTGGGCCAGCCTGCACACAAAGAGAGAAAAAAGAAACGTTTATATGTACAGATGGTCAAGTTACATGTTTTATTGATTTCTATCTAACAGTAAGTACACATTCTATACAGAGAATAAATTTCTGCACTTTTCAATGAACAATTGCTGTTTACCTGCATTTAACATATTGGGAAATGGCCTGTGGAAAGGTTTTTATTATTTTCAGATTTTACACTTTGTTTTATTTTTTCTTGTAAGTTAAACGCAGAAATTGTCCATTAAAATTTGCAAAAAAAAAAAAAAAGGAAAATATTTACGTTAATAAGTTCAACAAAACATGTAATTTGACCACAGCTGTTTAAATTTACTAATCTCTGCTGGATTAGATAACGAATCTTCAGGAAACTAATAAAAGCATCACAAAATACACAAATGTGAGTAAAGGAACTGTTTACACAGTAGTGTAACACAGACAGTAAAAGACCAAGCTTCTATCTTTCCATTTATTTATTTAAGTTTGAAAATAAGCTTGAATTTTTCTGGCTAACAAGTGAGTTATACTTTATAATCGCTGATAACATTTAAAATTTGATTCCACTATGCCTCTTTAAAAGTAAGACAGCCGGAGCTCCACCCTCCTCTCCACTTGTTTTTCTCTCCTCAATATTGTTTCAAGCGCTTACATCTCTCAGCAGCACTGATCTTTTAAATGCACCTCATGAGAACTCATAGGCAGTAGCAGAATCTTTTTTAAGTGTCATGTTTTATAGCTTAATGACATATAAAGTGAACAGTGACATCTAAGCTGTTAGCTGGTTAGGTTTAAACAGTATTTAGGTAAAACTGGTAAAATAAAGGAATAAAATGCTGTCATGATAAAAGGGGGAAAATTATATATATGAGAATATCCAATTACTACTGTTCACCCAAACTTACCTAACATATCCTCAGCAATACATTCAGTAATGTATTCTTTACTGGCTTTCTATCCGTAAATAGCTGTCTAGACAATTTTCTGTCAGGATTTTGGCCTAATCATAGTACTGAGACTGCTCTAATTAAGACTAACAATGATATGGATAAATACATAGTCTGAAAAATACAGAGTCTGGATTTTTGGAGTTTATACATCTGCAATGAATATTAAGACCTTCCCATTAAAGCGTTTCAAACAAATTGAAATAATCCTTGCTGGGAAAACATACAGTCAAAATATCTTCAAAAAGTAGGTTCTCAGTTCTGAAGCTATATTTAGTGAGACCTGTTGCACTCATTTTTTTATGCAGTACAAATTTTAACCCAATCCAGTGAAAAATAAGCAATTGGTGAAGCTTAGATTGCACATACAAAGAATCACCAAAATGATGAAAAGGGGCAAACTTAAAAATCATAAGTGAAAAAGTAGTAGGAGTAGATGTATAGTACTTTGCAAGGCCGCATGAATTAAATAGATGTTTTCACATGTTTTTTTTCAAGAAAATCCATGACATGAACAGGGAGGGCTAGGTGAGCTGGTATGGAAAGGCCCATATAAACAAACTTGCCTTGACTTCTTGCTGATATGTGCTGTTCGGCAGCTTTGTCCTGTGTTTTCATGAAATGTTCCATTCTGTCTGCTGCTTTATCTGTTATTTGTCTGTTATTTGAAATGAATAACTTGACGTGGCTTGTAAGGCTCTCAACAAGGAGGAGCTATTCGTTGTCAGGTAGCTTTTGTGTGCATCATTAGAATGGAGGAACTTGCATAAATAACAGTGAGAGAAACAGTTATGGTTATGATATGAGGAAAATTGTGGATGATCACTAAGGCTACATGATCAATCATATGATAATATGAGTTTCCACAATAAACACCTAAATAAGGGCCACAAAGACAGAGCAAGTTAAATTGCCTCAGATGCGCAGTGTCAAAGTCATGTAATTAGATTGGCAGAAACATAGCGTTAGAAGCCCAATAAGTGCTTTCCTGCACTGGGCTTAAACCCTGCTCTCCCACATGATGGGCAAATAACTTAAAATGTGGGTAAACAGCCAGTTACAAAACACCCACATGCACAGGTCAGAACAGTCCAGAACTACTAGCCTGTAAAAATGCTTCAAATGTGATGACTATTCTTACTCACAGTGTTATGTTTTAAATGCATAGACTGTATGGTAAGTCTGCATCATCATCATGAGCTTTGTAAGAAATTATTTCTTTTGTTATTCTTAATTTTTGTAGGCCTATATTGAAAATAAAGATATACATATCTTTTCATGTTGTAGCCTGACTGCAACAAATAGAAAAAGCTGTTCAGGGAATAATGACTGTTTTTAGACTGAAACACTTTGGGGAATTCACTCATGTTATAAACTCACTATTCTCAAGAGAAACTCACTCAGATTACAAATTCTCCACAAGGGGCAGCACTGACACTCAAACAGCTTTTGATGCTTCATAAGAGCAGTGCTTTGCATCAGTGACATTGTATGTCCTTGTTCAGCCTTACGGTGCACAAAATGTGCTTGCAGTTCTGATGTAAGTAGCTACTAGCATGTATTTTTATTTTGCAAAATAGTAAATGGCAATTTTGTAAGTTTGTGTCTGCGCCATTTGCTTAAAGGAGAGGTTAGTTACATTTCTGCTTTCATGGTAAAAAAGTCTGTACTTGTGATGTTCATTCAGAGGCACATTATTTTAACAATAACTCATCACTTCTCATTGCATGATATCCAACAGCTGTAGCAGACATCACATTTTACGTCCATATTTTGCAGCTCTAATGACCTCAAGCGAAAAAGCGGCAGAGGTGCTACGGACAAATTTAAAAAATTAAACAGGGGAAGACAATAGGGTCCAATATGGGACTGTTTAGTGATGAATAATTGCTCCACACTTCAACTTGGCAAAATCACACCATGCTGCTGCAACCAAAATGTAACGTATATTCCTATTCAAGTTTGCTTGCTCTAAAGAGACACAAAAAATATAACTTTCCAGAGCATTTTTACATTTACATAACAAGGGTGACAACAGCACTGAGAAATCAAATTAATGAAGGTGAACAATAGACCAAAAAGCAGAAACAGCTGCTTTGTTTGTCTCAGCTTCAAAGGGTAAAAGTGGGGATGTAAGTGGGGTGTAAGCATGTTCCAAGATTTGTATCCCCATAAATATACTGTATGCAGTAAATACAGTTATGCAATGGTTATGCAACTGCTGAAATACAAAAAAGGAAGATTCTGAGCTGTGTGAATGATGACTTCTAAGTGCTCACTGACGCTGTAAATGCAGGCTTTCGCTCTCTTTCCCTCCCTCTTTCTGCTCCTCACTCTGCATACTTCCGGAGCTCTGGGCTGCTTACATACAAACACAGAGAGCTGTGGCCTGCGTCTGCTTACAGCAAACACACACACACACACACACACACACACACACACACACAAAACTAGAAGAATAACCAAAAGACAGCAAACCAATGACATTTCTACCCTCCACATTTAAATACTAAGGGTCATCATGACGTTCATAATTTCTCCAGCATAGAACAGACCCTTTCAGCCTGTAATACACACACACATAAACAACTGCAGTGTCATTCCCCTGCCATCGCTTTGTTATTGTGCTGTGCTGAAGGCTGATATATTGAGAGTGACAGTTGCTTTGTGGAGAAGGCAAATGAACCAAGTGTGTCGTCCTCACTGACCCTATTCATCATAACAAAACCGATAGAGAGAGTCCACGAGGGAGAGAGAGAGAGCGACAGAGAGAGACAGAGAGATTATTAAACTGAAGGCTTTATGGAAGAAAGTAGTAATAAGAGACTAAATGATACAGACTATAACAGCATGATGAAGGACAGATCCACTGAGCTCTGCTAATTGCAGCAATTTGAGTGTAAAAAAGCTTAGTGACATGTGAGTGTGTCTCAGTACGTGACTGTCAGTGTATGTGCCTGCTCTCTGCTCTGTGGGGTTGATTTGGGAGACAGTGCTGCAGGGGGCTTTCAAGAGAACCACAGCCTTAGCAACAGCACCTCTCCCTCAGAAAAGAAGGAGAAAATGACTGAGGTCGACAAGGACGGAGAGACAGACAAGCATACAGGAGGAGAGAGACTGCAGGAGCAAAGAAATGCATCTCCAAACTTTGTTCTTACTGCCTACTTTTATTACTTTAAACAGTTTATAATTGGGCACGCTGGAGTTGTTGCCAATGAAGTCCACTAATGTCCATAATTTCAGAATAAAAACCATTGTATTGTAATATTTAGCCATTTTCGTCCAAAATGTTTGGTGGCCAGAGTTTCAGCCCATTCTATCATCAATCAAAGCCTTAAAACAACATTCCAAAAGTTTGTAGTCTGGATCAACATTACATACTGTATTGTTTTATGCTGGATCATGGATCTCAACAGATCTTACTGGCAATGAAGAGAGAGAAAAGGTCCAAAATTCTGGTAGGAAAAAAATCATTTGAATGATAATGAAAGTAAGAAACAGTGATTAAAAAACATTTTTTCTTCACTCTCCTGCACCGGTCAGTATAGACGTGTTCAAACACTTTGAGCACCAGCAGATCAACAGTGGAGAAAGCTGCACAAACTATTTTACGGTTTTTATGAGAGACATTAGACAAGAAATTTATAATATCTGTTCATACTGAGTATCAAAACAGGGCATAACACCAAAAACTTCTTCACTACAGTTTGATACCACTTCAAAACATGACATCCTGCTTGATACACAGAATATGCCTTGGATGACCAACCGTTCTCTGTTGGATTTCATGGTGGATTTCATACTGTAGCCTGCATACTGAAATACTTTTACTCAGTTTGTTTTATCTAAACAGTTTTGTGTATTGTCAGCTAAGCTTTTATTATTAATATTTTTATTAATAATAAAAGTGTATTATTTTAATACATAGCAGTTTTAATGTTTTGTATATTTATTCAAAAGCATAACAAAAAATGTCAAAAATGTTGAAGTATAATTTAACCCCATAAATGGCCAAGACCTGCCAGTGAGTCCAAATGTCTATTACACACTTCCATAACTTAAGAATAACTCTATTTACCTTGTAGTCCATTCTGATGGTCAGATGGTCACTTTTGATGTTGCTACACTGCAAGCTAACATCTCAGAAGCCAGAGTATTACTCTGATTGGTGCTTTTGGTCAGGTTTGAATTTTGTCGGGCTATGTTGGACAAACATTTCAGGGCCCATTAAAGCTCTACATGGAATCAGTACTCCAGTTAGCAACATATGGGTGCTTAGCAAAGACAGAGTGAACTCTAACTCAGACTCAAACACACGTCAACAGAATATGAAACTACAACAAGGATCCAACTTCTGATTTTATATAATTGCTGCATGTCAATTAAAATATATTTATTTGTACAGCAGATAAATAATCTAGACAAATCAGCATTGCAGTCTTTATGTAATTCAACAGTAAAGAGTAACTATGCCTTATGAAAGAGTGAGAGACAAAGAGAAAGCTAGAGAACGGGAGAAGGAGAAAGAGAGCAGGAGACCTAAACAGGGAAAAAAATTGTCAATGTGTGAGATCACAGATGCTGTTCTGGTGTGATCCTCATGGTGCTAACTCAGCTAACTTAGCAGAGCTAAGCTTCTGAATCTGCCCCCACCCCCCTCTCTTGCTCTCTCTCTCTGTCTCTCTCACACACACACACACACTAACCAACCTAGTGTCCTCCACTAACTCCAGGTCTGTTGTGTCTCACACATCCCTTAATTCCCATCTTTTCCTCCTTGGCAATTCCTTCTAGCTCAGGACACACATAACCTTGACCACCCGCCCACACACCCACCTAACACACACATACCCACCCACATACACACCCATACAAACACACGCACACACAACAACAACCGTCTTCTTCACACATGCTCAAGAACTTGAGAAATTAGAGAAGAAAACAGGCCACCATAGATGCAACTAAACTGTCACCATTCACACATCTTTATGCACTCCTCCACCCCACTTTCATGCCAGCTAACAGATGGGGCTAGTTCTGCTGTGCCAACTCAGTGTTGCGGCAGCACACTTGGACAGGCTTGGAATCTGCTCCCCAGGGTGTGTTTCTTCCCAACAAGGACACACACTGTCTCCACACACACAGACTGACCACCTGAGGAGTGATAATCAAGCACACATCAAATACACATCAGATACACATCTGTTAGGAACACCCCATACTTTAGTATAAAAATAGTTTTCTTAATGCTTTCCAACAATGTTGTGCTATTAATTAATATGATTGGCCTACATAAAGATGGCCTACATTGTTATTCAGAGCAATACAACCGACTGCTTCTTTAACACAAGCAAATCTGTATTGTCAATATGGGCTAACTGGATTATCACATGTGCCAGTACTTACTTACGGTGTTTACCCTTGGCATTTTAGCATTGTTAGTTGTTAGAATTAAAGCCCTGTAAGTTCATTACACATCGGTGTTAGCATTAATTGCTGTTAAGAGGATGTAGAGAATAAGCTTTGATTAGTAGTACTGTTAGCCTGAGCATGTTGCAACTTAAGCAAAAAGTTCCTCAATGGATACAAGCCACCTGTTCCAACAAAGACTGCAGTTACAGTCGTTTGGGACTAAGCTTCACAAAGAATCACTACATAGTTGTAGACAATGGATCTTTCGGTATAAAACGGTGTCCGGAGACAAAATAATTTCCGAAAGTTCATATTTTGAAAACCTAAATGAATCATTAAAAACCTAACAATATTGACTAAGGCCAAAGCACCTGGCACCTGTGTCAAACATTGACTGACACCTTTATCTAGTAAAATTTCAATTGGTGCTAAAGTACCTTGAGATAAGGTATAAAATGAGTAGATAAAACTGAAGAAAAAGATTTGACAGTGCTCCATCACTCCAGAGAATACAGGTGCACTGCTCCAAAGCTTAGTGATGGGGAGCTTTATACAGCATTTTGAACAAGCTGCAGACTCTCAGAAAAGGGAAGCAGAGAGGTACAGAAATCTAAGTGAGGAAAATGAATGTTTCTACCTGTATCTTTCTTGCATTTCAGTAACCATGTCTTTTTTCAAGGTATATTAACAAAATAAAGTAGATGGAATGAGTCAACTGAGAAGGAAGTACACTGTGGTCCACTTTGTCAAGGGTAGTACTTAAATACAAAAGTACTAGCTCAAAAAACACTATTTTTATTACCTTTTGTCTCATGTTCTTCATTAATTGACTAATTTGGTTAATGGAAATTTATTTAATGCTCAGTAAAATAGGTTGTTGTCATAATTTCATAAATGTGACTACATATTCTTATGTAGGAGGTCAGTAAACTCATTTATTTATAAATGAGATCCTCAGGCTACTCATTATTTGCTAATAAGCTTGTAGGGTTAATAATTAAAGGCTGGTTGTTAATGTTTTCATAACTGGTGCTGCAGTTAGATACCTTATTCCTTTAAATTCCAAGTCTCACAGCACAGGATATGATGCCATGAGCTGCGCATGCTGTGCATAAGAAAGCTCTGTAAGAAAGAATAAAGAGGGGGAAAGGGTAGATAATGAAAAAAGACACTCACCCATATTGTCTTTGGATCAGAGCAGGGTAAATCTGCTGCACTCCAATGGAGTAGCCTGGGAGAAAGAAGAATGTGGATGAAAAGGCTGCAAGTTTTCCTAACCGGTTTTCCAGCATTAACTCTCTGTGAAGCACTTTAAGCTGCAATACATATATGATAAATGGTTTAAAAATAAAATTTCTTCTTCTTCTTCTTAATAATAATAATAAGTAGAAAAAGAAGAAGCAGAAGATATACCTTGTAAAACATTCTACACTTGTGAATGAAGATGGCCTACATTATTCTGACCAATTTAATTAAATTGGATTACATGAACACCTTAATCCATCAAAATATGTTCAGAAACACTCATCCAGAACTGCGACTGGTGAATATGCTCACAGCATGGCGGGCTGGAGGTGTGTTGGGGAGCTTGACCAAGTACAGACTATGTGTGGCTGCATTTTTATTATAACTATTTTTTTAAACATGATTTCAAAAGGCCATCTGTCCTTTACATTAAGTCAAATTTCACAATGAACGGACCAACAGAAGTTACTTGAAATAAAATCTACTTATATGAAACAGTTACAAAATAGTAACAGTATAGGAGAAGGAAAATAAAAGACACTTTTAATGTAACTTTTAATGAAATTTTTATTTTCGAGCAATTTTGGACCATTTCTATTGGTCCATTAATTCCGAACTTCTGACTCAACATAAAGGGAAAACAAAAACAGTTATAATAATATATAATAAAATGCACTGTTAGAAATAAAGATACTGTGAAGGTGCATATTTGGTTCATTAAGTTACAAACAATGTAAATGTTCCCTCAAAAGTTTTTCCCAGGTGAAAAGTATGTATTTATACCATTTATAACCTACTGTTTCAAAACAGAACAATCCAATAAAAGCCTGGAGATGAGACAGGGGGTGTGGAGTCAATACAACTTAGAAAATATAATTTCAATGGATTATGGTACAATTATGTTCCTTGACTAAACGTACCACCCCAGTGACAAAAGGGGTACTGCTCCAGTGACAGTTTACTACCTTTACTTCTGAGAGTGTACTTGGGCGGCCTCCTCAAGTATTATGATGGCCACACAATTATTTTTTGTCCCATTTTTAACAATATTTAGTTTCCCAATCATCCCCATTTTAACAAATTCTAGTAAAAAATGATTTACATCACAGTGTCACTCTTTTTCCCTGTGGCATTTTCCATGACCTAAAACTTTACTTTAGCTAAATTCATGAGGTGTTTTACATCTGCAAACAAAATAACCTCAAATGCTTCATTCAAATACCCAAATAAGTGAACAAATGATTATAAAATCTGTCTCTAGCTCTATTTCTCTGCTCCAAAGCAGAGGAGAAACTACTCTCGCCTGGCTGCCCCTTCCTACAGTACACACAAACACACAAACACACACACACACAGCATGCTTGACAAGCCTTTTGCTGTCTTTTTCTCTCCCAAAGACACATACACACAGATAATCACAGCAGTAATTATGTGCAACTTAACATTCAACATGAACCAGTAAAAGATAAGTCAAACAAGCTATTCTCTCTTTCTCTCTTGTCATGTTTTTCCTCTCACTAATGTTTGCCATGAATCACTGCATAAGTAGGGTCTCTCTCTTTCTCTTTTCTTTTCTCCCCTTACAGACATGCATAACGAAGGACTGGCTCTAGCAGACACAGAAGAGCATAAGGCACATGAGTAAAACACCACCAGCCAGAGAGAAAAAGAGAGAGAGAGAGAGAGAGAGAGAGAGAGAGAGACAAAGACAAAGACAGAGACAGAGACAGAGACAGAACTACTCCATTTCGGACAAAGGCAGCTGCCTGAAAAGATAGTGTGCGAGTTTGCAGTTTATTCAGTTTTGGATTAGGGGTCGTCTGATATATCACTTTGGATATCTAATATCTAGGAGTTGTGAGGTCCCACAAACATATGGGTATTGGTGAAATATCCCAACGATAAAGCACACATATTTAGAGGCTTTTTTATTTTTTAATAAATCATGACGAATAGTCAACTCTAATATGATCTCAAATTTCCAGTCAAAACAACTATTAAGTACAAATTATTCATTTTCAGGAGATATTTCTGAGAACATTAGATCCACTTACATAAGGAAAATAAAATTTGCACAAGGAAAATAAGCAAAAAACAGGACTTTCCAAAACTGGGGGTCAAAAATAATTAAAAGATATAGAGAAAATGGGACACTTTACAATCATGCAAAACCTGCTGTAATAAAGGCAAAGTGTGGACACACTAAATTCTGAACACATTTATATTTTATTTAGTTTGTGTTTGTGTGTTTGGTTTTTCAGCTTTTTTCTGATGCTGCAAGAGATATAACTTGTACAGTACTGTATATTTTGGCCTCAAATTTTCAGTTGGGCCCTATTTTCATTATTTAGTGTGCTTGGACTTTTGGGTGTTTTGAAATGTGACATGCAGCCTAAATTCTCTCCACAGGAAATTATAGGTTGTACACGTGCACGCACACACACACACACATCCACATCACAGTTGCCAGTGTAGGCTGGCAGGCAATATACAATCAGTCTGACCCATATAGTCTTGTTGCCAAGTGTTCTGTGTGTCTGTGTTCACATAATAAACATGAAGAAACTACATTTCCGAGAGATTAAAAAACACCTGTGAAAAATCCAAATGTTGGCTGGCACTGAATAATTGACCCACACAACTCTATAGCTAGCTGGGTTTCCTGTGCGTATCTGCATGTGTACATGTCTATACACACTAGAAAGGTAAAGAGAGTGAAAAAGCACATTACAAGTGTATCATATTTATAACACAGTGATATGAATCTTCATCATTGGCATATGCAGAAGGTGTGAACAGCTGAGGCCAATGGGCAGATTCAATTTGTTAATAACATGCAGTGTGAAAGACAGTATGAGTCACTGACTGTATGAATTTCAACAAACAGAACTATGACAAAACACCAGAGCACTGTGGAGCTCTATGAGGGCATCCTGGAATGAAAGAGACATTTCTGTCACAACTGTTTGGAGCCAAGTTTGAAAACTCTGAAGTCTCAATTTCAAAGTCAATGTGAGTCGGAAATCATAACGCATTTTCCTCCAGTACTGTGACATATTTCCAAGGGTCACACAGAGAGGGTCTCTGAGCTAGCTGAGCTTTTTTGCTCAACGAAACGTTGGGGTGGTGCGAGTGGGAAGAGAAACGTGAGAGAAACATGACACTATTGGTTAATATTAATTTTCCCCACCTGGTGGTGGACATTACTAAAAATCAAAAGATGTTTCAAAGGCAGGCAAAAATAATTACACGGAAGATTGCAGAATTTCACCTTTTATATAGTATTATACATGATATGATATATGATATGAATGACCAGACATGACACATATACATGATACACGAACTACAAAATCATTCAACAATTTGGAATCACTTTCATATTAATTATTGCTGTTATTTTTTACTCAGTAATGACTAGAGATAGCATTTCAGTATCAATGAATATGACTATTGGCTAATATAGCAGAAAATGCTGAATCAGATATTGAAGAAAAAAAAAAGTGAAATATTGATTGAGAAAACAGCCTCAGTTCTTTATGGCATGAATTCTACAAGATGTTGGAAACATTCCTCTGAGATGCTGGTCCATGCTGACTTGATTGCATGTTCATGCTGTGAATCACCCGGTCTACCACATTTTAAAGGTGTTCTGCTGGATTAAGATCTAGTAATGGAGTCGGCCACTGAAGAACAGTGAACTCATTGTCATGTTTGTGAAACCAGTTTGAGATGACTTTTGCTTCCTGATATGGTGGATTATCATGTTGGAAGTAGCCATTAGAAGGTAGAAGGTAAATTGTGGCCATGAAAGGATACATATGGTCAGCAATAGTACTCAAGCGTGGATTCATGCTGTTGGCACCAAATTCTGCCCCCCCCCCTCTTAAAACAGATGGTTTCCCAAGTGTTCTTTAGTGGAGAAAGCGGCTCTATGTAGAACCATCAACACTCATACAACCATTTGTATGATTAAAGGGTTATTTGCATCGTGAAAGCATTCTTCAGACTGATGGAGAATGTACTGTAGATGATTCTATGTAAAGTCTTTTTGAAAATATTATATATAGCACCAAAAAGGGCTCTGCTATTGCTAGAATGACAAGCTTGAAACAAAAGAAGAATGCTTTTTGGTGTGATATAGAACACTTTTCCAAAGAAGTTCTATATAGGACCATATACAATACATTTTCCATCAAACTGCAGAACACATTCACGATGCAATGAACGCGTTAATCATGCAAATGGTTTTTTGAGTGTACATGGTTCTATACAGAACCATTTTCTATACTAAAGAAACCTTGAAGAACCAACTTTTTTAAGTGTGATACCGATTGTGTGCCTCATCAGAAATCAAGATTCATCAGACCAGACTGTTTTCCAGTCTTCAGCTGTCCAGGTTTGGCAAGCCAACATGGCCACTGCTCTCAGCTGACGGAAGTGGAACCCAAGGCGGTCTTCTGCTCTTGTATCCCATCCGCCTTAAGGTTCTATGTTTTGTGCATTCGGAGATGCTTTTCTGCTCACCACAATTTTACAGAGCGGTTTTCTGAGTTATCATCTTTTTCCCCATTCTGATGGTTATTGTGAACATGATTTTGTGTACTGCACTGCTGCCACACGACTGGCTGATTAGATAATTACACAAATGAGTATGTGTACAGGTGTTCCTAGTAAAGTGCATGGTGAGTGTACACACATAACTGACACTAACATCAGACTGCTAATGCACATCCTCTCTCTGCCCTTTCATTCTGGATCAGCTTAATGTAAATGAGCTGAGTGGCAACCAATCAGATTGTTGATATGTGGCATGGTAACTGATTGTGTCCCACAATCACACAGTGCAAAGCCCAATGGTTCTCAGTGGTTCTCAAACTGGCCCTTAGGGACCCCCTGACAGTCCACATTTTGCTCTAACCCTACACATTGTGAGTCGGGTTGGAGCAAAAATGTGGACCATCTAGAGGTCCCTGAGAACCAGTTTGAGAACCACTGCTTTAAATCACGAGAAAGAAAAGCCATTCTTTCCTGTTTTTGCCACAAAAATGCAGACCTGAAATGGTCAGTACTAAGAAAAAATCAAATGTAGGGCTGGGCAACATGACAATATATCATTGTTGTGATAAACTACATCACGTCACAATATGATTTTCTGAGTATAGAGTGAATGTTGTTAGTACGTAAACACTTCCCAATTGCATGTCTGATTATAAAGAAAGAATAATTAGACCTGTTTTACTGGATTTAATATAGGACAGGGTGGGAAATGTTGAATGTAAGATTATATTTACACAGCAGGTGGCCCAAATCCGATCTTTTTCTCTGTATGTGACACAGATGTATCATCTGTGTGGCGGTGTGAACAGCAAAAAACGCATTGAATCTGACATTTTCAATTCCGATTTGAGACGCTTTCATATGTGCCACTGAAATCCGATACATATCCGATCTGCGGCAATGAGACTCTGTCTGAACAGCCAGATCGGAATTCATGCGACTTTTACGTCAACGTTCAACTCGACATTCGTCATAATATCGGGCTGCTAAGACTCATAAACATTTAGGCTGATGTTTCTGTACCCAAAAATTAGAAAAGACTCATCGCAACCGTGATGCTGGCGAAGACGAAACTGAAAGCTGCCGGAGCGACTGGCGTTCGCTGGCCGTCATGATTGTTTACCTCTGGACGAGCCACGTGAAGCATTGTTCTTTTGCGCACGCGGGTCGGTTTAGGAACTGATCTGTTCAGGCTAATGTCGCATACAGGTTACATTTAAAAGATAATGTGAACAGCAAAACAAAAAAATCAGTTTTGGTGAGAAAATCAGAGTTGGGCCACTTTTACCTGCTGTGTAAACGTAGCCTATGTAATTTTATTAATTTTTCCTATTTTTTTATATGTGTCACTACTTTGTCTGTTCAAATTTAGATATCACAAAAACACGTTATGACATCATACATTATGGAAATGTCTTAAAGTACTTTTTTTCATTTTTGCCATATCACCCACCTCAAATCAAATGTGAACAAAATTTGTTGAAAGATTTTATTTCACTATCTATCTTATGTATACTACAGCAAAATGAAAGCTCTCAGGACACCACCGTGGACACTTTGCACTTGAAACTTAAACTAAACCTAACAAAACTCCCTTAATATAATGCTTATTTGCACAATTGTACAAATGCTATTTTTTACAAATGTTCATGTAATATTCTGTTTATACTACTTATTACTTTATATATATATTATATATTGGTGAAATAAAGTGATTCTGATTCTCTGATTCTGAAAATCAATATCAAGACCTATAGGCGCCCACGTCCTCCTTTCCAGGGACGTGTGAAGATGTGTGAAGTTGGAGGTGCTGAAATCTACAGCAGTATGTGACAAACATTGTGACATCATGCTAAATTACTATGTGTTGTACTATGTGTTTATTCCTTTTTATTTGAATTGTTTGGAGAGAGACATCAAGAGAGTCCACAAATACACATTTAGTGGATGATTATTACATGACGATTATTGGCTGAAAATAATAAGGAAGAGAGAGACGGGTAATTATGTTGCTACACACCAAAAGCATCCAGCTGCTGGCAAGGGAAGCGATTCACTTAACTGTAAAACGCGGCGTTAACTTTAACAGTGCTTGTCGTCTGCAGATTTTGAACATGTATGCATAAATTCTGAACAACAGAATAAGTTCTGTTCTTTTGATGTTTTTCCATTATTGTTTTTAGCAGCTGCAGTTAAACAATCCTGAAATTTACAGCGCTCTCTGCATCACTTCTCACCGTATTCCAGCTTTTTTCTGTAAAATAATTCAACCACATAAACGAGCTGCTGCCTGTCTTTTGCTCACCTGTCGGTGCACTGCGTGGCTTGGCCCCCAGGTACGCCAGGTTGACATTGGCCTTTCGTCCATCAATGATGGGGTTTGGATCTTTACATGCTCGCTCTGCTGCTGCTTTCTCTATCATAGTGACCTAACAGGGGCAAATAGAACATTGGTACTGTTGAAAAAAATGCCATCTGAGATCTGCATTTCTGCTATTCTGAATCAATGTTACAGTTTCTCCAATCTAAAATAAGGGAGCTGTCTTATTCTGTCTACCTGGAGACATGCTCTGTTCAACATCACAGCAATGTCACATGGCGATTTGCTGTTTTGATTTCCCTCCATCACAACTGGTTTCACGTGACAGCATGCAGACATTTCTGTCCCCACGTTACACACAGCTTCCAAGCAAACATAAGGAAACCCAAAGACATTTGCATGGTCTCTACATCATAGTGAAGTAAGATGGAGATGATTAGGCCATAGACTCCTAGGGGAAATCCTTCTCTATTTCAATTCTCCCCCAATCCACATGACCCATTTCTGATGCTTTCAACCTGACACAGAAAATAGGTGACAGTGGCTGGCTATTGAATACACCCAGTTAGTAGGGTTTATAGTGCAGGCTAGTGGGTTTGGAATTATAGATAATGGTAACTGAAATCTCTTTGCATAACAAAAGGGGGTAAATTGTATTCGAAAGCTCTTTGAATTTTCCCAAAACTTCACAACTTATTCAGGGGTGTCAGCTGATATACAGAGTGAACCGATGTATTTGCAGTACTGCGGCAGGTATTAGAGAGGTGTGTGGTCTGCTAGAAAGTATCATCAGTAAATAGGCCAGATTAAGAACTATGACATTCTCTGTTCAAGCTTTTGACTCAGCTTTAGATTTTTTAGTTAAGCCCCTTTATATTGTTCAGCCTTTTTAAATAAACTCTGATTACTTGAATAATTGTCACAATAACTGGTACAACCCTAATAACACTATAGTATACTGATGTAAACTATAGTGCTAAATAGCATGACAGAAGGCCTGAGATTAAATCAAGTTTAACATGAGGTGGAGAAATAATGGGACACTGTGCTAATGGAATTATAGAACAGAAGATTTCAACAGCTATTGTACCATCCAAGAGGTATTATTAAGGGTTTACTTACACCTTGTCACTAACAGGAAGTACAGCAAGGATGTACACAAAGTAGTTACTGCTGGATGTTTCACAGCTTTCAAAGCAGCTCCTGTCAGCATGGCCATCATAAGATAACAAGAATGTCAAGTTTTGGGTTGCCTGCTTTGGGTCATGTACACACACAGAAACACACACACACCAGGGATGCCCGGAAGCAGCTGTAGCCCACAGGGCTGGAGGAACTACAAACATAACAGCAGAGCAGAGCTGTTAAGGGGGGTGTGTTGGGTCTGGTTTCTGTGAGGTAAATACTAAAGGATATTTTCAGTTGATACAGATGAATGTGGGGCATCGCATCCAGGATTTAACAAAAGCAAAAACATACTTAGACAGAAGAGAGTATACAGACCTTACATCACTCCTGTCCTAGTGACAACCTAGTATATCAGCACTGGACTGGGTAAACATAAAAGATTACAATTTTCTAGAATTTCTTCACCATACACTCTTCCTATTTCTCAAACGTTCTTCCAAGCTCCATTTATTTATCTTTCTGATTTACATGTTTGCACCTTGAAGAAGGGAAGAGGTCTTGGCAGGGGAGAGCAAGAAGTGAAACTGCATACTCTTATCTTGGTGCTCCAACAGTTTACAGGAGCAGACTATGAAACTGTCCTAACACCACAAAGACACTCCCGGAGTGATGAAGTGGCCGTCTGTGTGTGTGTGTGTGAGTGTGTGTGTTTGAGAGAAAGATGATCTTCCTACAGCCCTTACTTTAAGCAAAAAGCAGAGTTGTTCTGTTTGATATTTGTTTTTTCTACTGCAAATAAACAACCATGCAGCTATTTTACACACTTTTGCACAGTCAGAATCTGCCACTATCCACCCCTAACACTGTGATCTGCAAAGATTTATTTTAATTTTGGCTGATCTTTGCTGTGATTGTAACATGCAAAAAATGTGAGGCAGTACAAACATTTGAAAACTGTCTCTTATGAAATGTATGAAAAGCCTGTGAAGAGCGCATTCATTTAACCCATGAAATATGAAAAGTTACCTACTGTTTCCAGCACAAAAAAACAGCCATTGTAAAGCAAAGGTGCCCTTTTTTCCATCTTGGGCAGTGCAATGTTTGTGATGGGCTGAAGGCCAAAAACAATTTACAAATAAAGCTGATATATAGGTTTTAAAATGAGTTTTTAAAAATGTATTTTAAAACATTACACTATATTTGTGACTAAAGCATTAACAAAACATCAACTTATAAGAAAAGTGAGAATTGAATACATAGTATAAAATATGTTTGTTCTCTTGATGGGTTTTAATGTAACTTCCTGATGGGGCAAATTAGAGTTCCTCACAGGCTACACTTTAGTAAAGAAATCAGAAACAGAAATAACCATAAAAATTTATGATCTGGGAACCCATGAAAATCATTTGCAAAATGCAGTCAGAAGTGGGCCACCTTGAACTGTTCTCAGTAGAGATATCAGTACCATTCAGTCTTCAGGCTTTAGAAACCACTGCTGTCTGTGAGTAATGGTCATTAGATTTGATCATAGTGAATGTTGCAATTCATACGTCAGTAAAGGTTTTCAGGTACCTAGGTCAGTGAATTATGTAGTAGTAGTAGTCACTGGACTTGTCACTGGAAATAATCTTTAAGATGTTTTACCTTATTCAATTTTCCACTAAAATGGCTTTTGCAATTGAATTAGCTTAGTTAAACACTTCCTTTAGCTGAGTTAGAAAGATCACACTAGCGTACATCATCTGAAATAGGACAATAGATTCTTAAAAGGGAATTTTCCTTTTAAAGTGTCTCTTATTGACTGACGTGTCCACCGCTTCACTGTTTATTGGCCCGACCGACAGGCAAGTTCTGAAGATAAGAAGATAAAGCCGACATTCAGCTTTGTAATGTTTTAATGTTCATTTAATATAAGTTGCATTTTTGTAAATTTTTATACTATAAACATCAAATTTATGATAAATGAATATCGGTTGATAAACCGATAATCAGTATTGGCCCTGAAAAAACATATTGGTCAGCCCCTAGAGTTTAATGCTTATAAAAGCTTCTTTGCAGAAATGTATTATATGAAACAGTTACCAATATGCTGTCTGATGTCTGAGACATTGTTTGATGACAGTTTTGAGATATGAATTTGGCTTAAAATTTATTTTTTAAAATACATTCATAGCGGACACGTACGAGCAGGGTGTTGTAAGGCAAAATATTTCCCAAAAAAGTGCATTTCTTCAGATTCACTACTATTTCCCCATTATCAACATGGTATACATAAACGTGTAAGGACTGTTGTCGCTGTTTTTGGATGGAAATAAAATTTGCATTTGCGTTGCAGACTTACCCCTGGTTCCTTTCACCAAAACTGTAAAGAAATCTCGGTCGGTAAGTTTTTCTACAGTGAACCGTTTCACATCAAAAACACTCTGAATAAACTTTGCTTACATCTCAACTATTGCATTATGCAAACATTTTAGAAAATCGCTGGAATTTCCCTTTTAAAGTGTCTGCTATTGCCTGGCGTGCCATAAACCCAAAGTGCTCCTCTTCCGGAAGGACATGTATTCGACGGCTCAATGTAAGACTAAAATTTAAACCGCTAATTGGAATCGTCAGTTAAAAGAGAAAAGGCATCTCGGAATGGCGCTTTTGAAGCCGTTAAGCCTCGTTTAGGGTTCTACAGATGAAAGACTTTTAATGACAGTATGTAGACTCGTCAGTCTTTAACAGAACAGTGTTTAGAAGCTGGGCTATATCTCAGCAGCAAAGCCATATCTTCACTTATAAAGCCATGTCTCGCTCCACACAGCTGTGTCTCACTTACAAAGCCGTATCCTCTCGATTTCCCCGTCTGTCTGTCCGTGATCACTACGGCCTCGTCGATGTCTCCGAAAGTCTCGAAGTACTTCCGAAGAGACGCGTCTGTGGTGTGATACGGCAAACCGCCAACGAATATCTTGGTGAAAGTGGTGTCTTTCACAACCCCGGGATGCTGCATCGCCTCCAACGTCCCGTTCACAAACTGATGCAAAAGCATATCGCGCGAATTCAGCGGTGGCTCGAGCGACTTCAATTACAAGATAGGCTGGACAGAGGCTATGAACGCGCCGCGCGCGGCACCAGACCACCAGCTCAACCTAGTCGAAAAAAGAAGAAGTTCTTGAGGCAGATACTCCGAGGTAGATGTTGCTTCGAAGAGGAAACCGTCTCTTTTCGCTTCGACATCTGCAGAATAAGTCCGCTTGATGCCTGTGCAGTACAGCGTTGTGCTTAGCTGCCGTTTGTCCGTGAAAGGTGGCTCTAGCTGTAGAATTAATCTGAAAGGTTTTACGCACAGCCACTGTTGCTTTATCCTCGTCTTCACGGTTGTGCCAGCCCTCTGAAGCCTCACCCTCCCTCAGCCCTCCCTCACTCTCTCTGCACCTGCTATTGTCCTTTTCACACAAAGCAGTCAGTCACCTGGGGCTAACTAGTGAGCTATGTTGTAAAGAAATTGCATCTTTCATAAATTATGGGCAGGCCCAGTTTAAGATCCTCTGGGCCTTAGAGCCCCATCCCTATGAGCACTGCAAACATGTCCTAATCACATACAATGCATTTCCACTGACTTAATCACCGAAGTGGTATGTACACCATTCACTGTTTACAGCTTTAGTGATTTTTTATTCCTTTCATTTGTGAAACGAGAACTCTCTCCTTCATAATTAGTCACCAGCAATGTAAGAGCAATCTTTAGTAACACAAAATACTTCATCACATGCGTGTTATTAGGCAGTGTAAAATCTCCATTACCCAGGATAAAATCACTAACACACAGCCTCAGGTGGCTTATTGAGTGGACAGCACAAAAGATGATAAAATACATGTTATGACAAAATGTTTTACAGCAAAAAGTTATCACTAATAATAATCAATACAAACATTTATTCCACTAAGACATGTAGTTCTTTAAGTAATGAGCATGTTGTTACAAAGCTGAAAAAGGATGAGAACGTTCAGTCGCCCATCATTGTTTATTGCAGTCATTTTATGAATATTAACTTTTTGTCATAATGAACATGTTGTAATAACACTGTTTACTGAAAGAAAATTTGTTTTGTAAGCATTTGCTGCTAAATTACCACTGCAACGACAATGCTAATTTATATGTGATTTCCAGTCTAGCACCAAAGAGCATCTCACTCATGAAGATCACTAACATCATAATCCACATCAAATAAGATTCCAAAACTTTGATTTTCTCTGTGTTTCACACGGAGTGTGGTGCCCTCAGCCATTGAGTGCTACCATGCAGTCGCCCAGGTCACCCATATGGTAATATTAGCCATGGGTGTACAATTGTGCTAGTATCTATATGAGGTACCCCATAAACAGACTTTAGGGGTCTTCCCAAGATTCAGTTGGTGATCAGTGAGCTGCTCCGGAAGCATTCTTGTTTGTCCGTGCACATTGAACTCGTTTGTATGTACACTGGGCAAATGTGGGGGTGTTAATGATCTTGGAAGCATGGCAGGGCAAAATGGAAGAAGGGAGAATTTCAGCCAGGAAAATTCTCACCAGGAGCTGGACAGACCCCTGGAGAGACATGAAATAGAGGTCAAGAAAGAGAAAGCCAGAAGAGTGAGAGAGCAATAGAGAGATGTCTAGAATAAGCATACACCAAAATGTACTCTTAAAGATGAAACTATTCCCAAAAATAAAAGCCTTCATCTCCCTTTCTTGTAGTAATGTTTACTGTCTGAAATAGCTGCTGGACTGAAAATGTGCCACTTCAAGCCTGTTGTGCCATATTTAATCGCAATGAATCATGAGAAATTTTACTGAGTGCCAGAATGTCTGTAGGTCTCTGAACCCCTATGCCTCATGTTAACAATGGTGCAAGCCACAGACTGGAACAAACAGAGCCTGGACTACTGTATTCCATTAAACAGCATTCATTTGAGTTTCCCTGGTGTTCTAGTAGCTGGTTTGTTTCACCCTGGTGCCTTTGATGAATGAATAGCAAATGATATGGCTTTAGGGGCAGAGGAATTAGCATGTAGTCAGCAGATTTGCATGCAGTATGTGGAGTAATCCAAACAAAAAAAGGAAAGGCTTGTCAAACAAGAGTTTCTCTTTCACTGTTTCTTGAGATTTATTAGGTCATACTGGTAGTATATGAACCATGCCTTCTAATCTCAAAAGCTTCAATATGGGTTTTTCACACCATTTGAGACTGAGTAGGTTCTTGTAGACCTGCTGTCTCTAGATTCCTGTCACTCATGGCAAGTGCCCACTTGCCCCTATCCGCAACTGTTTTTTCCTCTGTCTGTCTGTCTGTCACATCTGTCGTGTACAGTTGATTACCATAGACAATACATTTACACTTTAATTTCTATTACAATTACACATTGCATTTTTGATTCCACTGTAATTAAAATAGGTAATAGCGGCCATTGGGCAGTTGCTGAATTTTGTCAGTATACGTTTTTACGTTTTGAGATGTTTACTGCCAGAATTCAGAAACTGTCCTTTGGCTTCTATTATAGGTGCATTTCATGTTAACAGGTTTTCAGTTCTTTTCTAAGTACAAACACATTTAAATTATATTTCATAGTAATCAACGGCATGATCAATGTGGCAGATTTAGATGAGACTAAAAAAATGTAAAAAGACAGCGAGGATCCAACTTTGATATGCTATGTGTCTCCTATAGCTGAATTGTACTCAGAGATGATTGTTGGTTACTTTATAGATAAGAGCAAATTACAGTACAAAATCAAAGATGAAATAGGAATAGTATAACACCAGTTTTCCACCAGTCTTACAGCAAATCATTATGTAGAACTGTACCAAGGGAATGCACAGCAAAGAGACAATTCTATTTGACAGCAACCTCACTGACTTTTTGCATAGTTGTTATATGCATAAGGGAGCAAAACTATGTACAGGCTACACATACAACTCAAATGTATATGTGGTTAGATACACATAATGTTTCATTCGGAAAAATGTAATTGCCCCCCTTAAAAACTGTGTCTATTTGCTGAGAAGCTTTAGCTTTAACATGTACATGACGATATCACATTAATTTACACACAGAGGAAATAAACTGGAACAACAATCAGTTTCATTTTTATAGCACAAAAAAAATCTTATAAGGGGATCTTGCCCCACTATTGGGACAAGTAGCAATCCTACCTGGGATAACAAGCTAACAAGCCCCCCCCGATGGATCTTGCACCAATTTGTCATCTAGATTTACAGAGTGTATAATTTATAAGTCAGATCCTTTCTAGTCTTTACATTTTTCAAATTGAATTATTATTAAAAATGCTATATTTTAAAAAGAAATTGAGGCCTCTATCAGTATTAGGATTAGTTTCCTTTTGGAAACATTCCTTTGAGATTTGGGCCCATGTAGACATGATTGCATTATGCAATGCCTGCAGATTTTTCACATATACGCTGGATTCTGATCCGGTGACTGGAAAGGTCACTGAAGAACACTGAACTCATCGTCATGTTCAGGAAACCAGTTTGAAATGACTTTTACTTTGTGACAGGGCGCATTATCATGCGACGTGAGTCTCTGATGTTTTAGCCCATCTACCTCAAGGTTACATGTATTGTGCATTCTTATTACACATAAATGTAAATGATGTAAATTCATTTAAAGGTATTATGATTATTATTTTTTATTTTTATTTATTTATTTTGTTTATGAAGTGCTGCTGGAGTTCAACTCACTGTCCACTCTATTAGACATGCCTACCTTGTCAGTCCACCTTGTAGATGTAAAGTCAGAGATGATAGCTCATCCGCTGCTGCACAGTTTGTGTTGGTCATCCTCTAGTCCTTCATCAGTGGTCACAGGACACTGCCCACAGGACGCTGTTCGTACTGTCCTACGGAGCACTGACAAAAGGATTCACCATGTGAATGATAAAAAGAATAGAACATCATATTTCACACCACTGGAGCTTAAAATGTTAATGTCTGCAAATGCAGACTATGAGCATATATTTAGATATCAAAAATCATAAAGCAGCGTCTGCAAAGAAACTGCAGTTGGCAAGGTAAAAAAATGCTTGTCCCAATTTTACACATGCTGTTTTTTCTTTACATGATTCACTTAATATAGGTGTAATTCAGGTGTAAGGGGATGAGATGAACATGGCAGCAAATAAAAAGAAATATAAGAACATATTACAAAGTGGTATGACCTAGTTATGTACACATAACTACTTAATGAGATTACTCATCACCACTTGTCTTTTTTATTTACAGGAGATAAAGAAATCTTGAAATTAAATTGTCTTTAAAAACATAAGCTTGCTGAGAGCAATGGGTGAAAGTGCAGGAATGTAGCCAGTAATCAGAGAAATAGTGATTGCAAATTGTGTCTCTGACAACTTCTCTGTGGTCAGCTACATGGAGGTGATGTTCCTCTTCAGCATATATTTGGGGTATGGCAGGTTGTCACTCTCCTCTGATGGTGGCAATATTGTGCAATACCACACATGCCATTATACTGTCACATGCCTTCTCTGGGGTGTCCCTGAGCCCCCGCAAGCACTGGAACCTGACCTTGAGGATCCCTAAGGTCATTTCAACCTTTGCTATAGTTCTGTACCAAGTTTGTTGCAGCATGACTGTGCTTCAGGCTCAGGGTCAGGGTATGGTGTCATCAGATAGGGCAGACAGGCATATCCTGTGTCTACAAGAAGGAGACTTGCCCTGCAGTCACACAGGGAAGTGCATAATGAGGTGCATAAAATGATGCAACATTACACTCTTAGCTGTACAGAAAACTTCTGGTGGCAAAAAAAACAGAGAGCAATGCATAAAATCTGCTGAGAAGTGAGGGCTGATCCACAATAAGTAATAATTTAAGTGTACGTCTTAAGAATTTCTTTTATGTAGATAATTAAGGCCGTTGAAAAACGGTAAAGTTCGCAGAAATATTTATCAGGAAAAAACAGAAAGTCTGATTGGGGTCTAATCACACATTCCTGACAAGTAGCTCTGTGAATAATTTCAGTCCACTGAATCCTCGAGGAAAAGACACGGCGTATTTGCAAGAGTAAAGTGGGCACTGACACTCACTTTCTTTAATTTCAGTTTTTGGAACGGAAAATCACTGGTTTCTGTGAACTCTGAGTGAACAAAAGTATTGGGGCACCTACACATTACACCTACAGGAGCTTTTATGACATCCCATTCTAAATCCATGGGCATTAATATGGAGTTGGTCCCCCCTTTGCAGCTAAAATAGCATCTACTCTTCTGGGAAGCTTTCTGAGATTTTGGAGTGCATCTGTGGGAATTTTTGCCCATTCATCCAGTAGGGCATTTGTGAGGTCAGACAC